AGGATCGGTGTCGTCGCGATCTTCATCTTCAGTGTCGAAAAGGCACGATGAGCACGGATCCAGCGTTCATCGGCAACCCCGACTTCAGGAACTGGTGGAGTCCGATCGGGATTCACTGGGTCCGTATCCACTGAGTTCGGCACTTGACGACCCAGGATCTGGCGCAGATCAGGGCGTTTCTTCAGCTCGGCGAAGTCCACCTCCCGCAGTTCATACAGGATCGCCGCGTAGATCGCGTAATCTTCCAAGAAACGGCTGTAGTAGTTGAGACTGCCCAAGAATGACTGCATCGATCGGAGCGATCCGGGGAACAGCAGATCAGTCAGAGCAGTGAGATCCTTCGGATTGGCCTCTAGCCCGCCGTTCGACACACAATGTCCCAGATAGTCCACCTTACGCATCCCCCAAGAGCTCTTCTCCGCACTGATCGAGAGATTCCACTTATCACAAGCGTCCAGCAGGTGATCCACACGACCGCACAGCTCATCCCATGATCCGGACGTCACGAGAATGTCATCGATGTACGATCTGCGACCTAGCACTGATGGACGCCCCGGATCTTCTGGTTCTCCTGACTCGATCAAGTCCGTAGTGACTTCACAGTCTGACGATCGCGGGATCCTGGTGAACCCATACAACGCGTCGTCCAGAAGTCGCTGGTAGATCTGAGGAGCGTTCTTCAAGCCGAACGGCATCCGGTTCCACTCGAACAGACCCATGTGGGTGATGAAGGCCGAGATCGCACGAGCTCGATCGGTCATTGTCACCACCCAGAATCCACTAGCCATGTCCAAGGAGCAATACCAGAGTACCTTATCCAGATCCCCCAGCAAATCGTTGATCAAGGGCATCGGATATACCATCAGCCTGGTTAGACTGTTGACGAGCCGATAATCGATGCAGAGTCGTATATCCACGCCGTTCTTCTTGATGATCACGACGATCGGCGAGGCCCACGGTGATCGAGATTTCCGAATCATCTTGGCTGACAATAATCCCTTGATCAGCTCGGACACCTTCTCCACATACTGAGGGGCAACTTTCCGGACACGTTAAGCGATCGGCTTCGCGTCGCCCACGTCGATGTCGCGGGTGACGCCCCGGGCTGCTGGGGGAAGTCCATTGCCCTTGCCGATCAGCAGGTGATTCCTGTGCCAGATCTTCTTTCGCAGCCGATCGATCTCCTCCGGGGTGTTGAACTCCAGATCTCCCACCTTGATATCATCGATCTTCACCTCATCCGTCGTCGAGATCACAATTTCAGGAAGCACAGCTAATTCACCTTCGACATCTTCTGCTGACAGATTCCCGCCCTCGTGGTAATGGACCTGATCATCAGCGCCAACGTCTCGATCTGGTTCGGATGCAACGAGATCGTCCCGATTTGAAGTGGGTTTGGCCTCCATTTCCAGCTGATCACCTCCAACGATCGATGAGTCTTCAGCCACTTGCGGCAGTCGTTCAGATGCAGGAACACCGTCGACTGCTGTATCGTCACTTGATCTCGACTCTTCCACAGCTAAGACCGCAACAGAGTGTGTCCGATCGGTACTCCCGCCCCCAAGATCTGGTTCAACGGCACAACCGTCGACCTGATCGGCCGATGGCAAGTGAGGGGACACGATTTCGCCCTTCTCAGCTGCTTTACCACCGGAATCCACATGATCTGGCTTCCCCTCTGGATCGCCAGCACGATCATCTTGCGGCTTCGCGTCATCTATCGGTGCACACGCTTGATCCGTGATCGGTGAAGGCTGGAAGTCCGGCTCCACCTGTTTCCGCTTTGGAGAGCATTCCTCCTCCGATCCGGAAGGTTCACACACCGACTCAACAGGATCCGACGTGGATCTGGTGGATCTCCGACGAGGACAGTTGAAGCAGGCGACCCCGACTCCTCTGTCACGCGATCATCGTCCTGCAACGGTCCGCCCCCTGATCTAAGAGTATCAACGACGGCCGCCCCCGGATCAGGGCTCATTGCCTCCGGTTCGCTTGTTGGATCGGGTGGACCCGTCGACTGATCGACGATCGGGGATATCTGGCGTCTCTGGAGAATGGCTCGGGGCGTTGGATAAATCGGTCGCTCGACGGCAGGTACCGGAGGTCCCGTTGGTGCCTCCTGGTTCGTCGGCCGGTCATCTGTCGTGGCTTGAAAAGCTAGATTCTGCCATTCCATGTATCGACGAGATCCGATCGACACATATCCTGGGATTCGGGGTATCCGATCTCCAGCCAGCCACATCCCGATCCGTTCATTCCGATGCAAAACGAGGTCTTTGTCGCTGATGTTGGTAACCTGGAGATATCTGATCCTGCCGAGTCCTCGGACCACGGTCGGCACCCAACGATCTCCACGGGTTACCCATAGCTTTTCTCGATCCGTCACCTTCATTTGTAGCGGAAGCTCGATCGAATCCCCGATCGCGATCTGCATTCCCTGATCTACACACACGTGTCTGACATTGTCGTTGTACAGCTGACGCCGTCCGCTAAGCTGGATCTTGACTTCGTCGGGGAGACAGATAGAGCCCTCCGCAAGATCGAGGCGGATCCCCGCTGGAACCATAAAGTCCATACCCAGGATCGCCTCTTGTCCTGATAGATCGCCAACCCAGATATCGAAGAAATACACCAGCAATCCCGCCAGCGTAACCTTGATCATAGTCCTTCCTTCCATCATGTACACGCTTTCGCCAATCCCCACACATTCCTGGCTCTGACTCGTGTCGACATAGCACCCCACCTTACGAGCAAAGGCGGTGTCCACGATGGACACCTCGGCGCCAGTGTCTAAGAGTAAGATAGACTTCTCATTGTTGATCTTGCCAGTGATATTGGCCTCACGGAACCACTTACCTGGCGAATGATGTTTCCAGTACCCTCTGGACTCCCCAGGGAGGAGATCGGGCACCACATCGCCAGATCTGCGGTGTTCGCTGACGCGAGGCAGACTTCGATCGCGATCATGCTCCGGGATCTCGGTCGTCACTTCTCCATCAGCTGGCTTGAACCATTCCTCCGGTCTGTGTTGCTTCCAATAGCCCCGCGTCTCTCCAGACTGGAGATCCAAGGGCACTTCGGCGTCAGAGCGGCTGAAGTCGTCCGATCGATGTAGACTTAAAACCTTGGCGGCAAATTTCGCATGCAGCTCACATGTATTACCGCGTAGATCAGTCCGTCCACTTAATCGATCTACCGTGTTCTTGTTCACGAATGCATAGATGCAGTACCTAGAACGCTCGGCTCGTACCGGATTCCAACCCGTCGAGCGTCCTAGTTTAACATCTTCTCGGCGATCGCGGGCAACATGCCAGCGTGCATCACCGGGTTGAACCATTGACGGATCTGGTTGTAGAATTCCTCCATCGGACACTTGCCCATCTCGTGAAGTTCACCACATCCACGGCATACAAACAGGCAACGATCCCCCGGATGACCTCTCTTGCCACACTTCTCGCACGTCAAACGTCTCCAACAATCGAGATCGGTGTGTTTCCGCGATCCACAGTGTGAGCAGCGGCTTGATCGCTCCGATCCGTCAGGTGAAGATCGCGATCGTGGATCCGATCGAGGTGAGTCATGGTTGATCTGCGCTTGGTTGCTCCGATCCGGCTTCGTCGAGTCGCCCCCAGCGTTGCGAGACTTGTCATCGGCCGACGCTAGGTAAACGCGACGTAGATCACCCTCCGAGTCCGATCCTTCCGATCCTGTGTCCGATCCAGATTCCTGGCTCGCGATCTGCACTGCACGCACTGCCCGCTTGGTTGCAGCAGCTGGTGCTGAGGTCGGAACTTTCTGACGATACTTCGATCCAAAGGCAGATCGCTTCTGTCTGCTCTTCGCGCGCTCTCGAGCGCGCAGGACTTCCTCCAGATCTTCCGCGTCCGCAAGCCGGAGTAGGGTGAACTGATCGGCCAGTTCCGAATAGCCCAGCGTCTCGATAAAGTGTTCGACATGTTCTCGGCGGGCTTTGGAATCCCCGTCCTTGATCTTCAATCTTGCACGTAGAGCGGCCACATTCAGTCTATAGAGGTACTCCAACGGCGATTCATCCGATCTCTTGCGAGAATGATAATACTGCCAAGCGACCGATACGCCCAGGCCACAATACTGGATCTGGAAATTCCGGAGTAGATCGCTCCACTTGTTCCGCGTCGATCGGCCCAGCTGGCGGTACCAGTTCTTCGCCGGGCCCGTCAGTAGATCAGCGAAGGTAAAGCACTTCTCTTCGTCCGTAGCCTGATCTCGCAGGAACGCCGATTTCACCTTGCTGATCCACGATCGGCGCGATCTTCGTCCTGATCCTTGCCACTTAACTCCTTGAGATCGGACATCGCGGAGATTCGCACGCGCTGGATCAAGGAGGACCCAGTGGATCCCGATGCAGCGGTGGCCACCACAGCAGGGGCCGAACTGGGTAGATCAATATCGTCCGGATCGTATTCCCACTGGGAGGGATCTTGGTCCGGTGATCCAGCTGATTCCATCTGCACGTCCCGCGATCCAACGTTGTCGTCGACCACTGGAGTAGGTGTTACCACCGTGGCCTGTTGTTCCTTCAGAAATCGAGTCATCGTAGCCTGAAAGTAAGACTCCAGTCTGCCATTCGACTCATTTGATCCGGTGGCACTGGTGGTCCGATCGGTCAACTTGGGTTTCTGCTTCCGAGATCCTGACCGCATGCGTTCCTGACGTTGACTCCGTGATCGCACGTCCAACATCGCAGATCCTGAAGGGCCGAGGGACATCCGTTGGGGTTCAAACGACGTGTCCGATACATGTTCCGCTGCGGAGACATAAGGTGACGACGATCGGTACCCAGTCGACTCCACTAGCGGCGATGACACTGGAGCCGGCGACACTGGATCTGGCACCTTCGGGTCCGGACTGTCCGCGATCATGTCGACCAAAGGTCTCAACTTGTCGACCAATGTCTGGATCGCTGTCTGGGTCACATCGAGATCTTGATCGAAAAGATCGTTCGCTTCAAAGGCGCCAGCCACGAAGCCGGCTTCCTTCAACAGCCCGAGCAGGTTCTTCACCACCATCAGCTTGTTATCCGTCACTCGGGGGGCCGGAATCGGGCCCTTCGGGTCGTCGATCTGCTCTGGCCGCACGATCACCATGCCAGGATCTTGACGCAAGAAATCTCGCAGTTCCATCAAGTAATACTGACGATCCAGGTCAGCCTCAGACCATTCGAGCGCCGACGGTCTGGGATCTTCGTCGTCCAAGCCTGGCGCGCTCAGCTTCTTCCTCACGATCTGGGTCTTGTCCGCGATCGCGTCCAGGTAGCCCGGATCGAGCCTGATCGGCGAGTCAGCGAACGCGTATCGGTCCGATCCCGCCTTAGTTTGTTGTGTTAGTGAATCTCGGTTCGCACCAAGATCCACCGGGGTCCCCGAAGGGACCTGGGGAGGATGTTGAGGTTTGTCTTCTAGATTTGTCTCGAGATCGCCCTCGATTCCGTCGACAGAAGTCCTCCGAGCACTCTGTCGATCCGTGGATCTCGTTTTGTTCAGCAGCGTCTTCGTCGATCCGATATCCGACGACGCCTCTTCCCGTGGTTCTTTCTTCACTTGCGCATCTTCTACGGACTCACGGTGAAATCCGGAGTCCCCAAGAGATCCGGGCACGCGCACCATTGTGGTGTAGCGGGATCGGCCAAAATCTGGTTAAGGCCTGATCGAGCTTCCCACCAGCGCCCGGACACCGACTAACGGAGGGGGTCCCCCAACGATCCGTGATCGGCTGAACTTGTTCTCACCTTGTGTACCCGTCGGCGGGCTGGGTCTGCTCTCTCGGGGCTCCGAAGATGCAGCACTTGGTGAAGATCGAGTGTTTTGGCGTGACGCGGGGATAGTTTGTGGAGCAGCGCGGTAGTCTTCGCTCTGCGTCCGAGTATACGCTCCGATCGAGATTTCTTCGCTTCGATCGGTCGGCCTGGAGTAGATCCAAGGCCTGTAGTTGCCTTTCCGGGTGTGTTCCTTCCTTTCCTGAGTTGCTTGCCGCTTCCTATAGCGGGATCGAGGTCGATTGAGAGACGCAGCGATCGCCGGCCAAGCCGTATCCGGTCGATCGAGGACTTGCACACGAGAGAAAGATCACTAGAGTAGGTCAAACTGGCCAATGAATTAATCCAGTCTTAACCGTACCGCTAGTTCACTACCCGAAGTGTCAACGCTTGCCGAGGCCAATGTAGTTCCTGGGACTTGGTGACTTGAGGGGACTTGTGGTCTTTGGTGCAAATTCTGCTCTGATTTATGTTTAGCTGGTGTCTCTCTACCGCTACCATCTCATCTACCATCCTACAACTCAACAACCACTGGATTTTTGTCCTGACTTCGTCCTCCATGTGCATCACATCGTGGTCGATCCCCGATCCACGATCAACCCACGATCGGCTCCCAATCCACGATCGACTCCTGATCTGCGATCGACTCCCGATCCACGATCGATCCCGATCGATGACCTGTGCGAGTTGCCGTGCGCTGCCGATCCGTCCTCTTCTGTCCTCGGCCGCCCTCGATCTGCGAGATTGGTCGTCGATCCGGGCTTGGGTCTACGTCGAATCACGCCGCAGTCCAAGCGCGATCGCCCGTAATCTGTCTTGACATATGTGTTGCCTTACGCGTCGACGTTATCCAATCGCTTGAGATCTCTCGATAGACCCTCTTGATCCGCGACCGCAGCCTGATCCCTGCCTATCGTTCTGCCACCATGTCGCTTGATGTCATCGCAGTTGGAAATTCTTGTTCGGTGCTTCACCACACTGCCTCACCCACAAAGGCGAACACGAAGTTCGCCTCTACTGCCGGCTCAGCTGACTGTGGCAGCCCGGTATCACCCAACCCAGTCAGTGTTGGCGGGCTGCCGAGTTTAAATCAGTCGGCGTGTAGAGGTCCTGGAGGTCTTCAGATAACTTGGAATTGTCGACATTGGACTTGACAAATGCGGCGAGCTTCTCATAGCGCTGGAACAGCTCGCATTGACCGACATCGTGCAATTGCTTGCAGAACTTGCAGCGACGGCGGCAGTAGTGAACGGAGTGGTTCGCACCGCCGCAGGCAGCGCAAGATCCATACGAAGGGCGTTCACGGGAGTCCCTGCGCCGCCCAGTCTGGTCACGCCGATCGTATCCTCGACTGGCGCGGTCAGCCGAGCTCGGCTGACCCCTTCGGTGATCACTCCTTGGTGTCCCAGCTGAGTTCCCTCGGTTCCCCGATCTACGGTCGCGGTCGCTGGTGAACCCGGTGTCGATGTAACCGTCTTCCGAGTGTACAGCCGAGTCGGAGTAGCTCAGCTGGCTGCCGTCGCTCTGATCGCTGACCGAGTCGTAGAGGTTGGATCGCCGATTGGATTGGCGTCTCTCGGCCAGCTCGTACGGGTCGTCCTCCAGCAGCGCTGTCGCTAGGCGGCGGTCTCGACCATCGTCGCGTCGGCTTCGCCGGTCATCCCGGCGGTCATCTCTGCGTCGTTCCCAGCGGTCGTCTCGGCGGTCATCTCGGCGCGGCTCACTCCGCCGAGCTTCCGAGTGCCTTGGCGAATCGGTGCGCTTGGCATCTCGGCTGCGGCTTCCGATGAGACGGTCGCGCTGTTTCTTCCGGCGCTCCCCCAGGATCTTCTGGTTGATGATCTTCTCGACCTTCTTGATATCGGTGAGCTGTTGCGGATAGAGCAGATCCATGACGCCATCATCTCCACAGTGCAACACGAAGTGTTCCACATGGTCAGCAGCATCCGCTCCACCGGCTTCGTACTGGATTTTCGCCGACTTCGCATATCCGTTGAGACGAATGAGGAAGTCACACACTAGCTCGTTGTCCTTGCGCTGAGCCGAGTAATAGCGAGCTCGTACCGACTGGTCAAACTGCGAACAGTAGTAGTCGGCGAATGCCTCAGTCAGCAGACTCCACTTCCGTTGCGTCTTCTTCGGGAGCTGGCGATACCAGCTCTTCGCGCCTCGCTCCAGCTTCAGCGAGAATGGCTCATACCAGAGGTCTTGCGCCAGCCGAGTTCCTTTAATCTCGTAGATGAATCGCTTAAGCCACTGGTGAGAGTCATCCGGTCGGTAACGTTTGCCTTCGAACATAGGGATCTCGTCGAGGGACGCATGGGTGCGAACCTCCAAGTACTGCGTCCGATCGCTTTCAGTGTCATCGAAGCTAAGGTGCTTGATGACGTCCTTCAACGACTCATCAGCTGAGTTCAGGTACTCGCGTCCATCGTCGCTGTCGCTGAACTCGGCTGCATCTGCAGCGTCAAATAACTCAGCGTAGCGACCACTTGGCTGCTTGCCACGCGTTGGCGTCTTCATATACGAATCTTCAAAATACGGCGTGCCCTCAGTCGAGCGGAACACCTCGGCTCTCTTGCGTTCGGGAGTCTTTGGCAGGGGAATCCTGCTGGGGTCTTCGACGGTCTTCGGAGTATCAGCCACTCGTTTCGCAATAGTCTGCCAAGTTCCGACAACCCCCTCGCTCGAGGCCAAACGAGACTCGCAACCGACGCTTCCACTTAAGGATATAGCGTGAAGCTCGGCTGAGGTCCCAATCGCCGAGTAGCAGGCTGTTGGGTCGGCTCGTGGACCGGAACCCCATCGCCTTGAGTAGCAGCACCGTGTCTTCGACTAGTTGGTTGATGTCGGTGCTGTTCACCGGCTGAGTCAGCTCGGGCCCCAGCACCGGCCATCTCGCCTGAGCCATCGCCACTGGGGCAAACATCATCATACACTCGCTCTGAGCTCGCATCTCCTCTCCGAGCCTGCCAGAACCTTGTTCGCACTTGGCGTATCCGCATTCCTCGTCGCTCTTGGGATCAGGGGCGGACGTTCCCCTTGAGCGGCGGCTTCATCTTCGTCGTTCGTATCATTGCCGAGCTCGGCCGCCAGGTTGCGCACAACTGGACGTGGGGTACCCATCCGTCCAACTTGCAGCGACAACTCGTCGACTTCGCCGAGTGGCTCGGCTTTCTCCTCATACTCATCCTCAACATCTTCCTCACTTCCTTGGTCTTGGGCATCCTCTTCATCGAATTGGACAGTGCGCGCCTCGTCCGCCGTCGCGTCCGTGATCATCGCATTCGCCGATCCCGCCGAGTTGGTCAGTCCAGCCGAGCTACTTCAACCGTCGCTGGACTCGGCGTAACAATTCCCTTGACCATCTTCACACTCTCTTCTCTTCTCTTCTTGTCAAACCTTGGTTAGCTGGTACCTACGAAACACAAGCACACCCCTGTTCCCGGGTCGCGGCATATAGCAGTACACACAAAATCGTCAGTTGTGGTAACTTGGCTACAAACACAACAATAGCCGAGCTGGCCTGCTTTGTTGGCCTGCGCCGGGTTGCCCCCGAGCGGTTCGGCCCAACCGGGACAGCGGGTGTCTCGCCTCTAGCCGAGACCTGCCAACCAAGATCACTCCTCCTGTAATGGGCCTACTTTGGCCCACTACTTTAGCTTACACGTGTGCGCGTGTATGTGAGGAAGCGTAGCTTAGTTTAACTTAGAGTTAATTATACTCGGGCCTCCGAGTATAGATTAATCTAAATAAACGATCCAAATAATGTTTTTGGGTTAAAATGAGAACTGCTATTTTTGTTTTATGTTTCTGACTTCCTCTAAATGTAATATTCTAAGATAGGAATCTGCCAACGGCTGGTTGGCAGAATTCCAATACTATGCATGTCGCTCGTTGGCTAAGAGATGCTGCTCTCAGCCAATAGGAATCCTAAGTCTCTATGGACCATCCGTCGTGGTGGTCGTAAATGTATGTAGCCTTTGGTGTGTCTACACCAAGGTCGAGAAAGTCTTTCGAAACTCTAACAGACGTCGTGTCTGTTACAGTTACAAGTGACTGTAGCCACTTGTGCGTGTAACCCTGTTACACCATCCCCCCTCAAGGTTAGACGCGCCGAGTCACGGCACGTCAATCAGGAAATTGACCATTCGTCAATGCTTCACGTTGGGAGAAAGAACTCTCGAGCTCATTCCGCAATGAGCTCGCCGCAGAAGAAGACCGCCGCCACAACAGAGGGTAACCTCTCTGTTCCTCAGTACCATGAGCGCCAGCAGGCAAAGCGCGATACGCTCGCTGCAAAGGTCGCGTCGGGGACAACCCAGTCGGAGATTGTCCTCGAAGGTTCCTCTGTAGTCAACGACGCCGTTGACTACGAAGACGACGACGTGGAGATGGAAGAGGGCGAGGCCTCTTCTAGCAAGCGCAAGGAGTCTATCGACAGCGATAGTCTCGACCCGCATGCCGGGTCGAGACGCCCTCGTGAAGGAGACGACTCGGACGCTTCGAGCTCGAAGCGTTCGCGCGGCGAGAGCGACACTCCGCTCTCTGCTGCTGCGGCTTTAAGCTCCCCGCGTGAGGTGGCGCCTTCAAGCTCTCCGCGCGCTGCTCAGGCAGCGCGCGATCCGTGGATGCCGTCTGCGTCAGAGATCGCAGACCGTGTGGGCAACACTGTGCCTCCAAACGAAATCCCGCTGTACGTATCCAGCGGTATCCACGACGATGTTGTTGCGGAGGAGCAGCACTTTGATCCGTAAACGAATCAAAGGCGCGACTACTACATCGGGCTCTTCCACGAGCTCCGGTACTTCTCCAGCAAGAAGACCTCTTCTCGCAGCAAAGTGCCTGAGTGGCAGGCACTTTGTCAAAGTTGGAATGCTTTTGTTGAGAACTTCAACAAGAAACCGGCTGCTTACCGCGAGCGGGTTAAGCATACCCGTGAGCGCTTCGAGACATTCTCGACGCGCGGGCGGCTGGAGCAGCTCCACAGATCTTCTGTGGACGCTGGTATTCCATGCGCTGTGCCCGAAGGCCAACAGTGCACGTTGTGTCTTCCGGGTGCGGCGCGCTTGAGCGACCGCGACCTAAACGGGTACACGACGATTCGTGTACCTGCGAGTCTCAAGGATCTCCGTGCCAAGTTCTTGGCACGTGAGGAGCGCGACGATCGTGGGACCTCGGGCGCTGTAGGTGACCACAGCGCTCGCACTACCTTCGCGTCGGCAGTGCGTGGTGAGCTTCGTACGCCCTCACCATTTCCGGAACGTCCTGCAGCAGGACGTCCCGTGGCTCCCATGTATCTTGGTGGGGCGGAAACCCTCTCCAACGAATACGATAACGAACCGGCTGCCGGTTCGGTTTCGGGATACAAGGTTCACAATACGCTCAACAATCCAGCGTGTTGAGCCGCGGGCGTCGCGGATCGGAGGCGGCGGTGGTGGGAACACGCCCCGGGTATGGTCAACCTGGGGTTGACCTTAGCCCGACGCTCGAGGAGCGGGTCGCTGCTGTGGAACAGCTTCAGAGCCGTGAGTTCGCCGCTCTGAAGCAGGAGAGGGCGACCCTGCGAGCTCAAGTTGCTCAGGCCTCGCAGACCGCGTCGGACATCTCTGTCGACGTGGGAGGTCGCGTCGTGCGCTTGGCCCAGCGCGTTCACGCGCTGGAGCAGAGGTTCGCTCCCGCTGGGGCTTCCGTTTCGGGCCAGCCGAGCTAGGTGGCTCGTGCTGCCGGTATGGCTTCAGCCGCCCGACGTAAAAGGTCGGATGGAGGCGCATACTAGATGGAATATCTAGCGTGTAGGCGTTGCCATGCCGTGCCAATACCGTGAACGGCCCGATGAAGCGCGGAGCGAGCTTGCTTGCCCCGAAGTCGGAAACGGCATGTTTAGGCAGGTTTTGAGTTGCTAACAAAACCAATGAACCCTTCTTGAATTCATTAGTGCTGCCCTATCAACATTGTCTGCGTTCAGCTTCTGTCAGTCGACAGAAGCTGCGATAGCGTCTTGGACAAACCGAATGATGGCTTGTCTGCGCTGCACGAAGTTAATTGCGTCCGAGCTGAACTCGTTCAGCTCGTTTCCAGCAGTAGGCCCGGCCTCTGCGCTCGTCTTCGCGGTGTCTGTGCCCTGCACAGACCCGTTCTTCTTCTTCTTCTTGCTCTTGTCGGCGTCTGTGCCCTGCACACACGCGTGCTTCTTCTTCTTCTTGCGCGTAGTCGCGGCTGACACTGTGCAAGTGTCAGCGGCATTCTGCGGCTGCTGCGTTGCAGTCATAGATCCTCCCTCACTTAAGGAAAGAGCCACCATCCCGAGTAGACTCGGGAGGCGTGGGTGCCTGATGGCATTCACGTAGAACGGTGTATGCCCGGTCGAGGCATGCACCGAGTTGTTGATGGCGAACTCCGCCATCGACAGGCACTCGCTCCAGTGTTGGAACGAGTGAGCGTAGCTCTTAAGCACGTCTACGAGCGCGCGGTTCACGCGCTCGGTCTGCCCGTCCGTCTGCGGATGGTCCGCAGTCGACATCGAAAGTTGACTCCCAAGAAGTGTAAACACTTCTTGCCAAAGGTGTGCAGTCAAGCGCGGGTCCCGATCCGTCGATCGGCATGCCATGGTGTTTGAACACCATGTCAACGAACAGACGCGCCGTCTGCTTCGCAGTCACTTCAGCGGGTACCGCAGCAAGATGAACCATCTTGCTGAAGCGGTCAACGAAGACCACAACGCCCGTGTTCCCCTGGCTGTCCGTGGGAAGACTGAACACGAAGTCCAAAGACATGGACTGCCAACACTATCGTGGAGTTGGTAGTGACTGCAAGGGAGCCTGCGCGAAAGGCGCAGGCTTCACACGTTGACAAACCTCGCAAGCACGGACGTACTTGCGCACCCATTTGTACTGGTGGGCCCAGTAGAAGTCTCGCGTGAGAAGAAGGTATGTCTTCTCACGGCCCGGATGCCCCGCAGTCGGTGCATCGTGATACTCGTACATGATCCTGAGTCGCAGGTCATGGTCATTGGGCACGACAACGCGGTCCGCGTTGTCGTCGACTGCACTGTAGAGTAACAACCCGTCGTGCACCCGATAACGGTGTGCACGAGCACGAAGATGCTTCGGCAGCTTCTGACGAGCTTGGTCAGAAGGCGCTGAGCCGTAGGCCAGCACGAGCTTCGCGTCCGCGTCGTGCGCGTACGCGACCTTCACGTCGTCCAACAGTGACGACGTTGGGGTGCTCGATCGCATGGCGTCAATGGCATTGACGTCGGCATCAGTCGTGGCGTAGTCAGGTCGACGCGAGAGCGCGTCGGCCACCACATTGAGTCTTCCGGGTTTGTACTCAACCCGGAAGTTATACTCTGCGAAGAATGAGAGCCATCCCATCTTGCCATCCGTTGCGAGATGTGCGGCAACTTCACAGCCGTCCGCAGTGATGCGTGGTCTGTATAGACCACGAACGGTTTGCTTCCGAGTAGATACACTCGGAACTTCGCACGTGCATACTTCATGGCAAGGAGTTCCTTGTCATGTACCGGGTAGTTGCGCTCAGCTGGCTTCAGCTGACGCGATTGGTAGTAGACGACACGACCCTCGTGATCGTGCTGCATCAACGCACATCCGATTGCGAAGGCGGATGCGTCACACACAACGTGGAATGGGCGATCTTGGTCGGCCACCGCCAAGATAGGCGCCTCAGTCAAGCCCCGCTTGACTGCATCGAAGGCCTGCTGAAACTCAGCAGTCCAAACCCACTCGGCGGCCTTCTTCAGGAGCTGTGACAGCGGGCGTATCATGCCCGCATAGTCCTTCACGTACTTGCACAAGTACGTGGCCAAGCCAAGGAACTGCCGCAGTTCCTTGACGTTCGACGGCGTCGGCCACTCATTGATCACTCTGACCTTCTCAGGGCCAGGGCGGGCACCGTTCTTCCCAACGAGACACCCGAGCACAGGTATCTCACTCGCCCCGAAGATACACTTCTTCAGGTTCGCATAGAGCTTGTGCTTGCGCATGAGCGCAAGCAGCTTCCGGAGATGCACCTTGTGCATCTCAACATCGCTCATCCCGTCCGCAGCCCGGCTGTGGACGAACACATCGTCGAAGTACCTCGGTGCGAAGTCGCGCAACAAGTGCGCCACGCACCTGTTGAAGGTCGCAGGGGCGTTCTTCAGACCCTGCGGCATGACTAGCCACTCCCAGAACATGCCGCTCGGCGTGCTCACAGCCGTGAGAGGGATATCGCTCTCACGCATGAGGATCTGATAGAACCCATCGCGCAGATCAAGAGCACTGTAGATAGTGCTCCTGGCCATCGAATCGATGATAACATCTTTTCGAGGTATCGGCGTCTGCGCCGGTATCGTCGCATCGTTCAGCTTGTTATACGCATGAACGATGCGCCAACCGCCCTGTGGCTTCTTGACACAGAACGTCGGAGCACTGTGCGGGGATTTCGATTCCCGCACTTGTCCAGCTTTACGACGACTCTCAAAGAAGTCGTCGATCGCCTTGACCTGCTCTCGAGGTAGTGGCCACTGCCGCGTGACACAGTACTTCGTCCCCGGCACGAGATCAATCTCGTGCTGGATGCCCTTATCCTGCGGAAGCTCCGCAGGAATCTCTTCCGGAAGTACGTCCGCGTACTCCCGTAAGATCTCGTAGTAGGGACTCGTTTTCAACGAGTCCCAGCTCTGCTCTTCAAAGCGCTCCTTCTTCGTCTTCGCACTGAGAGTGTCCTCGCTCTCAGTGGTGGTCTCCATGAAGAACTGCCTCAGTTTTTCATTCTCGCTCTTCGTTCTCTCGGCGTCCGAGAGAATTCATATTTGCTCGATGCGTCCGTCGTGCAAGTCACGCGCGAAGCGCTTCCAGCTCATGACTGGAAGCGAAGTCAACACCGACGCTTGCGTCGGAGGGTTAGCGAGAGTCATCTCCCTGTACCGGAACCCGGCACAGATACGCGTCAAGACGTTCAACGTCTCGACGTCCGGCTTCTCCGCCTCCGTCTGCCCGGCAGACATTCCTTGTAGCGTCTCGGCCCAAGGCCGACACTTGCGCAGCGACCTTCGCATGCGCCGTCTTCTTGTTTTGCGGAGCCCGGATCCGCTTGATTCTTGACCTCGTCCAGGCCCAGCCGTGGACGGGTGTTCTTCTTTAATACCGCCGGCGGGTTCATCCCGCGGGCGAGCGACTTCAAGCCCGGCTTGTTCGCCCGGCGCTTCGTCGTGCAGCCCGGCTGCACGACAGCATGCAAGTTTTTCCGGTGCGGAACGTTTGCAACCGTCCGCACCGCCTGCAGCGTCGGCTCCCGGAGCCGACACGCCATCTTCACCTCGACGCCTGTTATTGACGGAGCCCTCCATTACGGAGGGTGCGTCGGCTCCCCGAGCCGACGAATCAAATTCGTCCAAGCTATCGACTCCCGGAGTCGATGCGACTTCAATACCTCGACGCCAACCATTGGCGGAGACCTCCATTACGGAGGGTGCGTCAGCTCCCCGAGCCGACGAATCAAATTCACCCAAGCCATCGACTCCCGGAGTCGACGGCGTTTCGTCACCTTGTCTCTTATTATTGGCCAAAACTGATCCAATCAGATTCGCGTCAGCCTCCACGGCTGACGCGTGTGACTCGCCTGCGTCATCCGTGCACCTTGAGTCGGAGACTCTTCCTGATTCGCTGAAAAGCGGGTGTCGACCTCCGAGGTCAACACATTTCCTTCATTAGCTGTCGGCGGCAACGCCGACGCTAGCTGCTCTTGCGCACGTGCTCGCGCGCCCAGGACGCTCCGGGACAGCGGTATTAGGCGCTGTCTCGAGTGGGGAGTCGCGCGCACCTGTCGGTGCGTGCGTAGCGGCAACAGGGCCATCGCTCACTGTTCCGCTGTCGAGACCGAAGCGCACGAGAGTGCGCTTCTCCCGATCGATGACCGGATCATGCCGTGCAAGCCACGGCATGCCCAATACAATGTCAAACTTATCGTCCAGATCCAGGACGATAAACGTCTCGACAAACTCTTGATCTTCATACGTGAAGCGCACGCGTACCATGCGCTTCTCGGTCTTCACGACGGCACCCGTTGCCAGTCGTACTTCCAACATACTTCGAGGTATCTTTAAATCCTCGAAGTCAAGCCTTGATAGACTTCGCAGTCGAACAAAGTTCTTCGACGCGCCAGAATCTACCAAAGCACGGAGAGAGCCGCTTGCTCTCATCGAGTTCACATTCAGGATGACAAGGTCAGGCTTGTCATCGTGGTTCTTGCAGTGAGGGTGAACCTCACTGGGAGCTGCAGTCCTCAGTGTCGCGTGTCCAAGGTCGATACGCGGAACTGCATTACCAGTAGGGCGCCCCGCGCCTACTGGCGTCCCGCGTTTTTTGTTTGCGACGGTACCCGGCACCGCCGCGATAGCCACCCTGCTGGTGCACGGGGGCCGTGCACTCCCGAGCAAAGTGACCGACTCTACCGCAACGGTAGCATCGCACATTGTTTCCCTGCGACTGCTGGGGTCCAGCAGTTGCAGCACTCGAGAGGTCCATGGGTTCTGGGCCTCCCGTCCTCACTACCGGGCGTGGCTGTTGCCTCGGCGCATGTGCATACAGCTTAGCCTGCCGCAGGCTAAACTCCTCCTGCATTGCAATAGTAATTGCAGCTTCGAGAGTACTCGGGTACTCACGGAAGAGATAGGTCTTCACAGGCCCATCTCTCAGCCCCTTCATGAACGTGACGACCTTGGTCGCCTCGTCGATCGGGTTGGTCACGATGTTCGAGACCAAGTACCGTGCTCCCTGAACGTAAGCATGGACATCATGCTTGCCCTGCTGCAGGTCGAGGAACTCCGCCCTCGACCGGAACTCGTTTTGCGGTGGCTCAAACGCTTGTCTGAGCTCTTCCTTGAAACCCTCGTACGTGCTAAAGCACGTAGGATCCGAGAGTCGGCGTCCATACACCCAACTTCTTGCACGTCCGCCAATACATGACATGGCGAACGCAACCTTCGACAACGGGTCGACGATACGTCGAGCCGCAATGGCAGTGTCGAGTTCGACAAGCCAACGGAGGAGAGGTTCACCCTCTCTTCCGACATAGTTGCTACATTGAGCTTCAGCGATTGCGCGCGTGGTGTCGTCCCGGACGACACCGCGGTAGTAGCAGCGACATCGCGTTGCTCCTTCAGAATGAAACCCAGAGCAACACCGTGTTGCTCTGTCGGCGTTAGCGTACGCAGCATCGTAGCTACAGCCGCCTCACCAATGACTGTTGACAGTCGTTGGAGGGCCTCCCACTCTGGATCCGACAGGTGGGGACAGTCAGCGCGTGCAACGTGAGTTGCAGGCGTAGTGGAGCTTTCCATGGGCACCTCTGTATCCATGGGAAGGTTCTCAGCTCCGCGTTCGTGCGGTGACGTACGAACTCAGGTAGTCGGTCGTTGGACGGACTACGAAGTGCTACCAGGTGTAATGGGCCTACTTTGGCCCACTACTTTAGCTTACACGTGTGCGCGTGTATGTGAGGAAGCGTAGCTTAGTTTAACTTAGAGTTAATTATACTCGGGCCTCCGAGTATAGATTAATCTAAATAAACGATCCAAATAATGTTTTTGGGTTAAAATGAGAACTGCTATTTTTGTTTTATGTTTCTGACTTCCTCTAAATGTAATATTCTAAGATAGGAATCTGCCAACGGCTGGTTGGCAGAATTCCAATACTATGCATGTCGCTCATTGGCTAAGAGATGCTGCTCTCAGCCAATAGGAATCCTAAGTCTCTATGGACCACCCGTCGTGGTGGTCGTAAATGTATGTAGCCTTTGGTGTGTTTACACCAAGGTCGAGAAAGTCTTTCGAACCTCTAACAGACGTCGTGTCTGTTACAGTTACAAGTGACTGTAGCCACTTGTGCGTGTAACCCTGTTACACCTCCGGAGAACTGCCGTGTTCGACGGCCTCCGTTCACTCAACCCTGTTCCCTCCACCAAAGGATGGACGACGGCGCACGGAGCGCTTTTACAGGTCGCCGAGAGCAAAGGCTTCTCGACTCAGCAATCAGTGCCCGGGACGTACGGGAACACCGGCTCGCAGCGGTGGCGAGACTTTTCCTTCGCGCTTGGCGAGACACGCGCCCAACCCGGGCCGACCTTAATCTCTTGGCGCTGCCAGCCGAGTACCCTACAAGCTATGCCTCTCGGGTACCGGCAGCAGACATAATCCGGCCCTGTGCAGGGACTTACCGGAACGTGTACACGTGCTTTAGGCCTAGAAAATTCTGCTCTGTTGTTTGTTATCACTGTCGGGCGCCCTGAAGGGGCGCCTCCACTAGTCCTAAGCTCCTACACAAATACCAAATGAAAGTGGGCGGTTTTGGATCTCGGCCAACTCTTCGCTGGGCTCGGCGACGCTTGTACTCGGCTGAGCCGGATAAGCTATCCGGACAATTCTTCGAACTCGGCTGAGCCGGATAAGGTGTCCGGATAAGCTGGTGAACTCGGCTGAGCTCGGCTACCGGTACAGAGTACCACTCCAGCCGAGTTGGTTGTGCGAAATCTGGTGTTTCCTACACCACAACTGCCCCGGTCATGTTCCGAGCTGAGTTGATGAGGGACCTGACCATCACTCCTTGAGTCGAGTCCAATCTCGGCCAAAACTCCAACGGCAGCGAAAAAGTCTCCGCGTCATGCCGTCGTCCGACGCTCCTGCCGCTCCTCCGGTATGTTCTCCGCCTCCGACGGCTCCATCCATTCTGCTGCTGATCCTTTTTCTACTGATCTTCACAGACTTCAGTTGCGCCGTATTTGCAGTCTTCACACCTTCCCGCGCGAGATGAGGAGGAGTCCGCTGAGTTGGTCGACTCGGCGTCCCGGGCTCGCGGGGTCAGCGATGGGCAGGAGCACCCTGTCATCGATCTGACAACTTCCCGTGGGTTCGACCGGGAGTCCGAGCCGGCATCTCGCACTTCTCCTCGCCGCTCGCCGAGTCCGCGTGGTGACACCACTTCGGGCGCCGCCGACCTTGGTCGGTCGGACTCGGCTGGGTCGGTGAGTCTCGACACTCTCGCTGCGCTGATCCATGCGCAGTCCGAGCAATGCCGCATCGAGAACCCGGACTTGGTTCGGCTGATGTCGTTCGTGATCACTCGTCCCGGGCCGGCGGCTGATAGAGAGGTCCGCCGAGCTGCCCTTGAGGCGACGTCCGTCAGCGAACTCGTGAGCCTCCTTCGCGGTCAGCACCAACCTCCAAGTCAAGCTAGTGACGTCGCTGCACTGAGGGTCGAGTTGGAGTCTGCTCGGACTATCAACGCTGACTTGACTCGGCGGCTGGATTCACAGGCGGCTGTGAAGGCCGACCTTGAGGAACGGTTGAAGACCGTCGAGGAAGAACGTGACCGATGGAAAGCCGAGTCGAAGAAATCGTCCCCCCTCCTGACCAGCTTCCGGAAGGCGATGGCCGAGTCTGAAGCTTCCTTGAAGTGGGCCCGCAAGTCTCAGGATGATAAAGTGAAGTCGGCTCTCGCTCACGCTAAGGATCTCGGCAAACAGCTCAGGGAGCGCGACTCGGAGATTGAGCGCTTGGCTCAACTTCTTTCGGCCCGTGACGCCGAGTACGCTGTGCTCCAGGGGATCTCGACCAAGCACTTCGAGCAACTGCAGGAGTCGGCTCGGCTACTCATTTCTGGAGACGCCCAGCCTCACCGTAATGCCAAGGCTACCATTAAAACACCAGCGTGAGGTCATCCTCCGGCAGAAGCGTGTCATTTCTCGCATGGGCCTTTACCCATGCACGATCCTCACATGGCTGCTGCAGCTGCAGCCGGGTTGGACGTGCCTGGTTTGAGCCCAGCAGACTTGCAGCTCAACGATCGATTATGCCGGGTTCTGGCTCAGCGCTTCCCGGAGGTGATGGACATCCCGGCTGGAGAGACTCGACGCGTCGAGTTGGTCATACATCCGCGAGCGGATGGTACTGCTTCTGCTCCTCCGGTGACTGTGAGCTCGGCTGGTTCCTTCCTCGGGCAGTCGTCTCGGCTGATCGGGTCTGGGCTTCAAGGGTCCACGAGTTCTGCATCCACTCCGACTGTTGCGGCCCCCGTTCTCAAGTCTACTGGATCACGATTCCGCCGCAGCATGTCCGTCGAACAGATCCGCCGAGCTTGGCTGGACACTTCGACGCCGGCGGAAAAGTTGCGTCGCTACTCGAACCCGAAGGCGGCGACCACCGCTGGTTCTTGACGCAAGACCCAGACGCCTCTCGCGCAACCATACGCGTGTCCACTGCCTGGCGAAACTGGTCACGCATATGCATCAGCTCAACTCAACGAAGCAGCCCAAGAGACTTCTGCAGCTTGTGACTTATCACTCCGATCTGGCTTAAACTTGACTGGTCTCACAGCTGAGGACGTGACCGCTGGTGAGGACGTTCACTCTCCGGAGGATGATCTCTCCTTCGAGTTCAGCGAGGTACCTGAATCCGCCGAGCTCCCTGTGGAGTCGGCTATTCCAGTGACAAGTGGGCCGCTCGTTAGCCTGGTCCGTATCCTTCCTCTCCGGATCGTACGCCTGCGTCGACTTCCGACTCAGCTGTACCGGGTATCGTCGTATCGTCGAGCATGACTGCCCCCCCAACCAGGTGTCGGGTGTTCCACCGTCTTCGTCTGACGCTGAGCCGAGTGGCTAATCTCTATACCGCCGAGTTCGCTGGATGCTTCCCTAGCCACGCTGAACTCGGCTCTCTCCTTTCCTATCTCGACTTCGTTGTCGACATGTGCTCGATGGATGCCTCCTACCAGTACTGCCGGTTCTCCGGAGGTGTAACAGGGTTACACGCACAAGTGGCTACAGTCACTTGTAACTGTAACAGACACGACGTCTGTTAGAGGTTCGAAAGACTTTCTCGACCTTGGTGTAAACACACCAAAGGCTACATACATTTACGACCACCACGACGGGTGGTCCATAGAGACTTAGGATTCCTATTGGCTGAGAGCAGCATCTCTTAGCCAATGAGCGACATGCATAGTATTGGAATTCTGCCAACCAGCCGTTGGCAGATTCCTATCTTAGAATATTACATTTAGAGGAAGTCAGAAACATAAAACAAAAATAGCAGTTCTCATTTTAACCCAAAAACATTATTTGGATCGTTTATTTAGATTAATCTATACTCGGAGGCCCGAGTATAATTAACTCTAAGTTAAACTAAGCTACGCTTCCTCACATACACGCGCACACGTGTAAGCTAAAGTAGTGGGCCAAAGTAGGCCCATTACACCTGGTAGCACTTCGTAGTCCGTCCAACGACCGACTACCTGAGTTCGTACGTCACCGCACGAACGCGGAGCTGAGAACCTTCCCATGGATACAGAGGTGCCCATGGAAAGCTCCACTACGCCTGCAACTCACGTTGCACGCGCTGACTGTCCCCACCTGTCGGATCCAGAGTGGGAGGCCCTCCAACGACTGTCAACAGTCATTGGTGAGGCGGCTGTAGCTACGATGCTGCGTACGCTAACGCCGACAGAGCAACACGGTGTTGCTCTGGGTTTCATTCTGAAGGAGCAACGCGATGTCGCTGCTACTACCGCGGTGTCGTCCGGGACGACACCACGCGCGCAATCGCTGAAGCTCAATGTAGCAACTATGTCGGAAGAGAGGGTGAACCTCTCCTCCGTTGGCTTGTCGAACTCGACACTGCCATTGCGGCTCGACGTATCGTCGACCCGTTGTCGAAGGTTGCGTTCGCCATGTCATGTATTGGCGGACGTGCAAGAAGTTGGGTGTATGGACGCCGACTCTCGGATCCTACGTGCTTTAGCACGTACGAGGGTTTCAAGGAAGAGCTCAGACAAGCGTTTGAGCCACCGCAAAACGAGTTCCGGTCGAGGGCGGAGTTCCTCGACCTGCAGCAGGGCAAGCATGATGTCCATGCTTACGCTCAGAGAGCACGGTACTTGGTCTCGAACATCGTGACCAACCCGATCGACGAGGCGACCAAGGTCGTCACGTTCATGAAGGGGCTGAGAGATGGGCCTGTGAAGACCTATCTCTTCCGTGAGTACCCGAGTACTCTCGAAGCTGCAATTACTATTGCAATGCAGGAGTGAGTCCCCAACTTTGTTATGCATATCATCCAGGTTTACACCAGGTATTAACCATGTTTTCATATCAATTGTGGATAGATACAACTACCAGCTTTTCACGATTGTAGCTATGGATCAATATGGCCAAGGGCAACCGGTGCAGTACTCCCTCATTGAAACGAATGGCGATTGGCACATGTCAAAGTGCCTCGACCACTTCAAGCGTGCAAATGAGCACTGGCGGTTCGTGCGGATAGTCACCGTCGACAAGGACATGCGCGAGATCGATGCGATTCGCAAGAAATTTCCGGAGGCGCGGATTCTTCTCTGCCACTATCATGTCATCAAGTGGCTTCATGAAACCATCAAGAAATCGCAGACCTATGGAGCCTACGAAGTAGAAGTTTTGACCCAGATGAAGCACACCATCACGAACATGACATACTCCAGAACTGAGGAAGACTATGTGCGCCATCGGGATGAGTTCAAGAGTCTGGCCTCGCGGAATGGTCGTGTGGAGCTATAGGAGTATTTCGACAAGAACTGGAATGCGTGCCGAGAGATGTGGGTGATGGCTTACCGTGTCGATTTGCCACACTTCGGCAATCACACGAATAATCGTGTCGAGAGCCTATTCGGTAAGCTGAAGCGAAAGCTGAAAGGCCATCTAACTATGCGCACTAGTCTGGAGATGCTTCTGGAATATCAGCGCCGCAAAGAAGAAGCCTATCGGTCCAAGGTCGGGATGCCGGGTACCCTGAGAGACGCCTCGTACCCTGAGGAGTTGAACGTCGCTCTGGGCATGCAACGAGGTGGGTAGCAGCTGCTCTGAAGACACAATTTGACATTGCTACGAACCCCGGGGTTGTCGATACCTACGCTTTCAAGGACAATGGCGCTACGATCACCGTACAAAGCGAGGAGAACGAGTATCTCCTCGAGAAGGAAGGCTGGGTGTGCGGCTGCGAGTTTTCGCAGACTATGAAGCTTCCGTGCAGACATGAAATGGTCTACAGAAAAGTGTGTGGCCCTTCATCATCCCATTCTCTTCCATTTCGCCCAGGTATGTCCAGTTTTTCTATGAGTATTGACCAGGTGTTATTCAGGTATCTCGTTTTACCCATGTATTGACCAAGTTTTAACCATGTTTTGTTATTGATGTGCATGAATAGGTGGTTTGGACAGAATCGCATCTCGCAACAGGACTTGATGGAGGTGGAAAATCTGTTCGTTGCTAAGCTCTACAAAGGGCATCCAGCTGCGAGCGCTGGCAGTTTGAGTGAAGCCGAGAAGTATCGGCGTTCGCAGCAGGCGTTTGGTCGAATCAGCAGCGAGCTTGTCCGATGCGATGACACTGTGTTCGAGTCTGCGATGAAGCAGATTGATAAGTGGTGGTACGACTTACGTCAAGGGAAGTTTCCGCTGGTGCAAGCTGATGCAGACTTCGTCGACGATTCGGGCCCCGATCGGGTTGGCGCTAGTGGTGGCGGGGACAACAGTATTAGCAGTGATAGCCACGGAGGCGGTGGAGGTAGCCCAGGAACGGGGGGTACGAATGCTCGTCCTAGTGCTTCTGGTGGAGAGGATGCAGCTCACGAAAAAGGACCAGATGATGACGAAGACGAACCCCCGACACAAGTGACAGCCTCCGCCCAGGAATCGGTGCAGCCAGGCAAAGGCTCAAAGGTTCGACTGACAAACAAGAGGCGTGTCGGTTGACCACGGTTGAATCGTGCTCAGATGAGAGGGAAGGCAGCATTGGCGCTGAAAGAATACAACAATGGAATGAAACTCAGAGCTCTACTACGAGATAAGGACGTGACGGAAGTGGCAGCAACGCTGGAATTGATTAAGCCAGGTGTCCGCGAGCTCAGCTCGTTTTTGACTACGCATGAAACAAAGAAGAAAGGTGACGGAAAATCAATCCAGTGGATGTCGGACACGGAATATATTTGCGAGGTTGTGCGCTTCCGACTATCGGAGTCCGTCGTTGAAGACGCTCTAGCTAAACTGAGAGGTGGTTTGGCAAAAGGGGAGGAGATTGAGCTGGACAGTGATGGAGGGGTGGCACGCGAAACGGAAGGTTACGTGGCCGCCATTGAGAAAGTTGGCAGATTTACCCGGGTGCAGTTAGAAGCGATGCAGTCGCTGTGGAATTGGCAGGCTACATGCCGGAATGCGGTACTGTGTTGCACGTGGCTAAGCCAAGACGTGAAAGGTATCGTAGCGGACCCCGCCCCCCCCTGGGCTGTTACTTGGCAAAGTGCTCGAGTGCTGGCCATACACACCGCTACATGGCTTTGGCTTCGACCTGACCTACCCAGACCTTTTCTGCTTCAGAGACTCCGCTTGGCTGAACGACAACGCCTTGCGGGCGTTTACCGTGTTTCTGTCTACTTACAAGAACAACGTGACGGTGATGGTTCCTCCTCTTAAGAAGGGTAAGATGGGGAAGCACATACTCGCACCAACGTCGCTGGATGAGGTTGCTAGTGGTATTGAGGCGCATGCTTTTGTATTTATGCCGGTCAATTTTGGTGGAGTTCATTGGGGATGCATCGTAGTGGACCGTGAAGCGCGGCTAGTGTGGTGTGGTAATTCAACTAAAATCCTCATCTACTAAAAGGTACCCGCAAAGGTAAGCGCTTATTGGATCAAAACCTGAAGACCAGGGACGATCCCTTACACCGGGTCGGTTGCAAGCGCCTCTGTGCACCTTAGGTTGTCTTCGGTCAACCCAAAAACCTGTACCGCTAGCCACGAGCTAAGGCTAGGATACTATGTAGCGCTTTCGCGCAACCCCACTGCAGTCCCTCAGAAAGGAAGGGTACCGGCGTGTTAGGCCTTATACAGGGGGACCAAGGTAAAACCTCGGTAGGTAGACTAATACACTCAGGGACACTCTAACCCCACAAATATATACTGAACGATACCCTAATACCGTTCCTGCCTCTCCGGCCACACCAACTCTTGGCGCTGCCAAGGAAACTCTCGGTCAATGCACGATAAGCTCCCCGACAGGCATCCACACGCAGCCGAGCGTGTCCAGGCACTACAATAAGCTAGCTACACTTCCTGAAGTCGGACTTGACCCTTGTTGGCTTTGGGGGAAAACTGTCTTTTTATTACTGAGTTTTCTGAGGCCCTGGGGGGCTCGTTCTGGTCATCCTATGATGAGTCCTATGTCCCTATACAAATATCTAGTGTGAACGATCGCAATAAGGCGATTCCGGACACATCAAATGACGACCGCGGCTACACTAATAAGTGCGGCCGAAGTACGTAACTAAATGCATTTGTACCTAAAAGCGGGTACCATGAAGCCTCGTTCGGGGTTGTATTAGGACCCGACGAGGCTTCTGCCACTATCTGCCACTCCAACGAGGATAATGTCGTCAGCTTAACCAAAGCAGCCACTTCCATCTCGCACTTGGCTGCTCCTTGATTGTACCTTGATTCTTGGGCGACGGGCAATCGCTCCGGTAATCTCCATTTTCCGATACCACCCTAGTGAAGACGTATGACAGCATGGGTGGGAAGAGAAACAAGAAACGGCTTAAGAAGATGGCAAGCGAGCTCCTTGCAGGCCCCCTTGAGGTTGAAGCTTACAGCGACATCGAAGTGACGGAGCCGAAGCAGACAGATAGCGATAGCTGCGGGGTGTTTGCGTGCCGTCTATTGTGGACGTGTGTTGACAGCGAAGTGCCAAGTGATGTGTCTCCCAGTGGCGTCACCAAGCTGCGTTGGGCAATGCTGCACAAGATCACCACGATGAAGCGTAGCTAGACAGTGAGCAGCAGCGAGAAGTGGGATAATACATGGACAACTTTTGTTTGCAACCTGTAAGAAGCCTGTACGAGTAGATGGGTACACAATGATTGTTTTGAAGCCATTATCATGTCGTGTGGTTCCGATCGATACCAATCGACGCCACTTCGACTTTTTTCCGAGTAGTGCACACATGAGTTTTCCAGGTTTTCATACCTGCAAACTACCTGGACACTGAAACAAGAAATGAATGGCTAGAATGCATCCGACACAGCCTGTAGGCCGTCATTTTCACTTTTCCTCAAGTACTACGCACATGAGTTTTCCAGGTTCTTAACCTGGACATTAACTGTTCTGGTAATTTAACCATCCTTGTTTAAATTACTTTCATCTGATAACTCTCATAACTCATATACCTGGATATAACCTGGGGCATCACCTGGACAATACCTGCAGAATCAGAAATCTGAGTATTTTTCTAACCCGTAGGCTGTCCTTTTTGTAACAAAAGGTTCCAAATGCAAAAAGTTTCCGGATCACTCCGCTTTTTGCAAAAAGCCCGATATAGCCTTAGCGGAAGGCGGACCTTGATATTCCCTATGATGGAGGCACCACAAAGAACCGGTTTAGTTTTAGTTGTTGTTAAATAAATAACAACGTGCTGATATCGTAGGCGATCTATCGGCTACACTATCGGTTAATCGTTTGCACAGTGAAATCACTAGCTGATTGTGTGACCGATACACTGTAGATGTCACACGCTACACTATTCAACCGGAAGAACCGGTCACGAGCGGTTTAATTGTGTGGTTTTCAACACGATAGGTAGCAACTTGCTGTTATAATTTCGGACACCACGCGCGACTTCAACGCCAAGAGGCCAAGAGGCCAAGAAGCTATGGGGCGGGGCTGCACAATGGAGGAGTGGCGGCACTTCGAGAAGGAGAAGGAGGAGGGGCACGTGCCCAATTCGTCGTACTGGTACGTGCGGTGCCGCCACTGCGCGGCGGCCAAGCTGACGGGCCGTCGCTCGGCCATGAGGGCGCACCTGAAGCTCTGCCCGATGTACGCGGCGCAGTATCGGATGGAACAGTGCGCGCTGCAGGCGGCGGCGGCGGCGGCGGCGGCTGCCAGGACCGAGGCGGAGGCTACTACTGCTGCCGCTGCCAGGACCGGGGCGGAGGCTGCCGCGCTCGCCGAAGCCAGCGCGACGGGCGAGAGGCGCAAGCGCCGCGCCGCCAGCGGGGAGAGCAGCGGGCCGCGCGGCGGCCGCGGCAAGCACTGCATGATGGAGGAGTGGGAGCACTTCACGCGCCTGCAGGACGAGGGCTACATCGGCAAGTCCAACTTCTTCTACGCCGTGTGCAAGCACTGCCAGCGCGCGCACGACGAGGCGGACGCGGAGCAGAAGCCGCTGCTCGTGCCGGAGAAGCTGGTGGGGCGGCGCGAGAAGATGCGCAAGCACCTCTCGCTCTGTCCACACTTCAAGGGCGACCTGCCGCCCGCGGACCGCAGACTGTTGCCGCGCGGCTACGGCCTGCCGCCTAGCGTCGTGTTCAGCGCGCTGGCCGGTGCAGGGGGCGCGACGGACCTGTCGCCCGAGGAAGCTGCGTCTGCTGTTGCCGCCGCCGCTGCTGCTGCAGCTGTAGTGTCGGCCCCCGCCAACAACGGCTCCTCGCGGCTGGCGCTCGACGAGTGGCACTTCTTCACGCGGCTCGAGCGCAAAAAGGACAGCGCGTACTATTACGCCCGCTGCAACTTCTGCCAGCAGGCGTACGAGAACGCCCCCGAGAGTATGAAGGCGAGTATGGAGCCGTCCATCGTCATGGGTCGCAAGAGCAACATGCAGACCCACTTGTCCAAGTGTCTCCACCTGCCCAAGGACCCAACGACGCTGGCCAGGGTTTGCAGTGCGGGATTCAGCTACGGTGGCGGTGCAACTTCGCTCGCAACGCCACTGGATGCGACCGTGCCGCCGCCGGAGCTGAAGCGCGCGAGGCTGGACACGGGCAACGCCGCGCCGCCATCATTTTTTTTGCCCGACAGCACCGCCGTGCACCGAGCGCTGGCGCGAGTTCTCATCGAGCACCACCTGCCCTTTGAGTGGGTGGAAAGTGATAGCGCCAAACAGCTATTCCGTGCTCTGGTTCCTGCGGCGAACGAGCTCATTCCGACCGCCACGGACTTTCGCACTCGCGTTCTGGACGAGATCCACCACGCAACTCTCCGCACCGAACTCACCAAGCTGCAAGAGCCCATTCCACTTGAGCTGGGTGCATCCGCGTTTGCTGCGGATGCCGTGGACACCTTGTCTGTTGCGTCGGTGGGGTCGTGGCCAGTCATGTTGCACTGCAATCTGTCCGTCAGCCAGCTCGACGGGATTGTCCAAGCGCCCTCGATCGAAGGAGTCGTCACCGACGGACAGGCTATCGTGTCACTTTCGTTTGTGCGAACTCAAAAGCCGGAAGCAGACGTGGAAGCTGAGCTTGCCTATAACCACGGACTCGAGGTTGCTCGATGGCTGGACGACCACATTCGACTTTGCGTTGACCGAACAAAAGTGGCCCTCGGAGCAGTGGTGTTTCCGTACAACACAATCACGCAACGCGCTGTTGGCATTCTTCGCGCACCTGCACACTGGCCTCAAGTTGCGTTCTTGCCCGACATGGAGGACATGCTGCGGTTTCCTCTGCTGAAGTTGCTGGCCACTGCGGAGGTGTTTACAGTCGTATCGTCGCTGATCGAGGTGTGGCAGCTCGAATCGATCCGCGCATGTGTGATGGAGCGCTTATCGGAGATAGACGGCGGCGCTCACACGAGCCCCTTCTGCGATTGGGAGTCCTGTGCCACACTCATTCAAGTGCTGCTCGACGAGAAAACGTTCGAGGCGAGCTCGACAAGAGGAGCGGCGAACGCCAAGAGGCTGGTGGAGAATGCGCTGAATCGCTCACTGCTGGAGCGGGTTTATAACCTGCTTCATGCCTTCACGAACGCCTTCGCTAGCTGCCGAAGCGGGCTGAGTTTGTCAGACACATTGGTGCAGTTGGGGGCTTTGTTGACCGCAGCTGAAGGATTCATCACGGTGCAGCTCGCGTTGGAGGTGGTTTGGGAGCAGATGGAGCAGCCACTCTTCGTGGTAGCACACGCGCTGAACCCGCGTCTGCGGCTACGTGAGCTCAACAGCACCGATATCACCAAGCTGAGCACTTTGAGTGACCTCAGTGTGTCGTACTTCCGGTGCTTCTTCGGGCGCAAGCCGACTTTGCTGCGTGGGGAGGTGACCGCGTACCTGCACACGTCCCAGCGCGTGTTCACCAGCGAGTTCGTCGCTGAGTTTCCCGTCGTGGACGACTATTTCCGCTATCTGAGCGACAACTTCCCGTCGCTCTCAATGCTGATGCAAGTGCTGCACTCGTTCTCATCAGTGTCGCTGACTAGCCGCTCCACGCAACAAGGCTCAAGCAAGAGCGTCGTGCCTATTTACACTAACGAGGAGCAGCAGAAGCTCGAGTACCTCCGTGATCGGTGGGGCATTTCCTTGTCTGGTGCTGCCGCTTCATCGCTGGACACGCTGGGTGAAGGGGGAGCAAAAAGTCGCATCGTGGCGCACAACGACCGCAGTGGCGCTGCGATGCTGAACGCTGGAGTCGTGGTGGACGAGTGGAAAGAGGCGCTCGAGTCCAAGCTGCACGTGCGAGGCGTTGATTTCTCGCTGCTGGAGGACAAGTTCGACGGCATGGATGAACCCGATATCGCGACGGTGACTACCGAGCAAGATGATAGCAGCGACGTCGGCGTCGAGCAAACTATTGCAAGTGGACTGAAGTTGCCTTCGTTGGCGCACGACGACGAGCTGACGTTTCCCTCAGTTCCTCTGCGCGCCGAGTTCTCGATGAAGGTGCCGCTCAAGGACCTTTTCAAAACTGCAGAGGCAACGATCTAGGAAGGTACAATGCGGCAGTGCGTTTATTGATGTACCGGTAAATCATACTACTTTGCAGCGCGGCACGCTCAATACGCGGACGGAGACACACACCTTCTCCTTCACGCCTTGCCCACTGACGGCTCACAGGTGTGCAGGCAGAATCTTGCCCTCGCACGATCCAAAGCCTATCCTGTAGCCGTCTCCCTGGCAGTATCCCGTGACCGCCACCGTGTCGCCGTCCTGCAGGAACTTGCGCGTGAGGCCGCTGTCTCCGAGGGCGACCTCGCGCGTGCCCTGCCAGCTCAGCTCCAGCATCGAGCCCAGGCTGTCGTCCGTGCTGCCGCTGATAGTGCCGCTGCCCAAGAGGTCGCCAGGCTGCATGTTGCATCCCGTGACCGTGTGGTGGACAAGCTGCTGCTTCATGTTCCAATACATGTTGCGGAAGTTGCTCTTGGTCACGGTGTAGGCCTTCTCCGAGCCCTCCGGCTTGATTGCCACGTTCAGCTTGATGTCGTACGTACCGCGGGCATAATTGGGGTCCGTGATGTACGGCAGCGGAGTAGGGTCCTTCTGGACCGGGCCAAAGCTCGGCTCGCACCGGAACGGCTCGAGAGCTGCCAGCGGCACGACCCACGGCGAGATGGTGGTCGCGAAGTTCTTGGCTCCGAACGGTCCGAGCGGAACGTACTCCCACTTTTGAATATCACGAGCTGTCACCACAACGTCGTCATATCTCGACTGTCAGCAGGACGATCACCACGAAATGTCACTCGAAGTTTCGCACTTACCACTCCAGTCGTTCATGAGCACCACGCCGAAGATGTGGTCTTCCGCCTTGCTCATCGGAATCGGCTCGCCAAGGTTGTTCGGGGCGCCAACGAAGAACGCCTGGGGGGGGGGAGAGGAGGCTCATCGTTAGCACTCCTGCAGTTTGCCTATGAAAGAATACATCACCGAGTGGATCTCACCATTTCAAGCTCGTAGTCCAGCACGCGGCACGGCTCGTGGACGGAGCCCTTAGACGGGTCCGTCTTGTCAGCCTGGAGCTGGCCGTACGGGCGACGCACATTGGTGCCCGACGGCACCAGCGACGAGGAGCGTCCGTGGTAGCCGACAGGCAAGTGGAGCCTGCATTTCATGTAACAGCACAGCGCCATGACGGGAGTATCGTCAGCCACCCTGGACAGCGATGTTGCAGTACACCACCACCAGCGCTAACGCACCAGTTGGGCTGCAGCGCGTTGTTCTCCCCGCGGAACATGCGGCCGACGTTGGTGGCGTGCTCGCGCGACGAGTAGAAGTCCGTGTAGTCGCCGACCTTGGCCGGCAGGTGCATGCGCACGTTCTGCAGGGGGATCAGCGCACGCTGCCGCAGCGCCGCGTTGTCGCGCAGCGTCGGCACGTCGGCGGAAAGCAGGCGCTGGATGGTGGCGCGAGCCGTGGCCCACGCCTTGGGTCCTTGCGCCATGAACCTGTTGAGCGACGACTGCAGCACGAGCACAGAGAGACACAGGTTAATTGGGGGCCGCGACATGGAGCGGAGAGAGGGAGAGAGAGAGAGAGAGAGGCAGCGGCCAACGCACGTCGTGGAAGCCGGCGGCGTCGAAGCCCTCGAAGAGGCCCTCGGTCTCCACCACCGACAGGTCCAGCACGAAGTCGCCGATGGCGACGCCCACGCGCTTCTTCTCGCCGCCCTTGGGGGAGAAGACGCCGTACGGCAGGTTCTGGATGGGGAAGTCGCAGTCGGGGGCGACGGGCACGAAGCTCATGGCGGCGGCGGGGACGGAGGCAAGGCGGAGGCTTGGGCGGTCGGCGGCAGGTTTGGGAATGATCTTGAAGTGCGTGGCGCTGTGTACGCTGTGTGCCGCTGGTGTGGCGCGCAAGTTCAACCTGGTTTAACGCTGCAAAAGAAGCTGTACGGATGGTTTTCACCTTGATTTCAGTAAAGTGGTTAAGAGTTTTGAGGCGCGTCCTAACGCAAAACTCGTCTCATTTGTACGTCAGCGCAATTCGTCTCAACGGAGTGCTTGTCCTCTTGCAGACAGCGACCAGCACTGGTGGCACTTTGACATGCCGAGTAGCCTTCGCCAAGAGCAGCAACTTTGTGGCTACGGTTCGTCTTGAGTTACCGACCGGATATGCTACACTATTGATTTTCTGAGGCCAAGCCAATGGCGGTTTGGTGTCGCGCAACCGCTCGATCAAAGCCAACATCGAGTGCTTTGCTGGTGCAAAGCAATGTGTAGCGAACCATTTTATCGATATAGGTATTACGTACGTGCACGCCTAGAACGTGAAGGAAGTGTTGTCCTGGTCGTGTCGGTCCTGCCGCTTGCGCAGCCGCTCGAAGCGAGCAGTAAGCTCGTCAAAGTCGGGGATTCCGCCACTGGAAGTTGGGGCCGCTGGAGCAGGAGCAGGAGCTGGAACTGCAGCGGGTGGAAGATTTTCACTGTACGGAGCTGGTGTCAGCTGCGCGGACTCGGCAGGAGCGTCATCGTACTGGGAAACCGGTTGCGATGACATTGTGGAGTAGTAGTGGGTTGGCTGGTTCGTGTAGGTGTCCACCGTCCGCCGCGATAAAGAACCTTGCCGAGCAGCAGGCGCAGTGGGGGCGGTGCTAGGCGCACCGGATGGGACGTTCGGCAGGTAGGAAGGGATGTTGCCGGGCGGAGGGGCCTGCATCGCATCGCATCACATCACACAAACTGCAGTGTTAGAACGATCAGTCTGGGGTCCAGGCTGCGAAATACCATGAAGACACCCGTACCGAGGCGTAGAGGGCGGCAAAATCGGGACCAGACACAGCTGCACTCACGACGGTGGCGCCTGTCGGTGCCGGGATCGGCGCCAGCGGGTCCGTCACCTCCGCCTCGTCGGGCTCCCAGTCCACCTTGAACTCCTTGGCGATCTCCTTCATATAGTTGACCACCAAGAACGCGCTGGGCGGCTGCACGCTGAGCTTCTGGATCACGCGCTCGTTCACGCAGCCGTCCACGTTGCGGATGGCGGCGGCCTCGAAGTCCTGCCCGTACTTCTTGGTGAGCTGCTTCTTGACCTCGGCCAGCTCCGGGATCTCGGTGCGACTCGCCGCCCAGATGAGCGTGCACACGGCCTCGCGCATGTCGTACGGACAGTCGGCCTCCGTCTTGATGAGGTTCTGCAATGCCACAACAGGGGTTAGCCCAGCTCAGCTACAGTCAATGCGGGGAGTCGAGGCGGCGGACACAGACGCACCGCTCGCTCGGCCAGGAGCTCGCACAGCAGCTCGAGGATCTCGTAGCCTTCCATCGTGAAGTCGTCACGGATGATTCCTTCCACCTGAGAGCAGCAGCAGCAGCAAAAGACCCACTCAGCGCTTCAGCCACAGACCGAGCGCAGAGCACAGCGTAGCGTACCCGGATGCGCGCCTTCTCCTCCTTGCCGTCCGCCAGCAGCCGCGCCACCTCCCGCCGCTGCGCCAGCGCCGCGTTCGCCTTCTTGTTCTTGACGATGCCGATGCGGTGCACCGCCATCTTGAGGTTGGGCTTGAGCTTGTTCACGTTGAACCCGAACATGCCTGCCTGCCTGCACCGACCTGGTAGTGACGCTCCCGATTAGCCCGGACTTGATTCTGTGCACCTACTTGCACCTGATTGGACAAAGCATCGGGCACTCTGGACAAGCTCGAGTTTGACTTCGCTCAGCTCACTGACGCATGACCATCGATTAGCCCTGGCCTCAAGACCAGGCAATGAACAAGAGCACCAAGCAATTTTCATTTCCTGTTTACATACACGCGGGGCGTCGAACTTCCTCTAGAGCGCCTCGCTCCTCGCCACATCCTGCCGCCGGGTTGTCGCGCACACTCTCTCTCTCTCCTATCTCTCGCTCACCACTCTCTTTGTGTCGCCTGCTAATTAGGAGTAATTACTCCGCCCAGGACACGGGTTTCTTCCGACCCGTGTACGTCCGTCTAGTGGCGCTGTTGCGGCCAGGCGTCCCGGGCCCGTTCGCCTCGGACACGCCCGAGCTCGAGAGCAGGTCCGCGGAGCTCGCGTCGCTCACGCGCCGCACGGCCTCCTCGGCCGCGGCCTTGCGGCGGCTGTGGAAGAAGCTGTGCTTGCGCTTGCTCGGGGTCGACGCGCCGTCCGAGCCGCCGCTGGAGCCCGAGTCGCTCACGTGGCTCGAGCGCTCGGACGCGCCGCTGCGCTCCAGCCGCTCGAGCTGTTCCTGCAGCTGACGCCGCTCGATCACCTCGCGGGGCTCGAAGTAGACGAGGTCGGGGTCGCGCGGAGACGACGCGGGAGGCGCTCGGGTCTTGCCGCTGGAGCTGGAGCTCGAGGGCGGCGACGCCGCGCGCGGGCTGCCGGGCCCGTCCTTGTTGCCGGCGTACTTCTTGTGCAGCACGCGGAAGTAGTACCAGCCCGTGATGGTCGCGTACGAGAACCAGATGAAGGCGTTCTTGCGCAGCCTGGCGCTGCTGGCCAGCGCCGCCACGAAGGCCGCGAACAGCAGCAGCAGCCACAGCAGCACGGCCATGCTCGAGCGGTTCCGATTGTCGTCTACGTTTGATAATGCGAGTTTTTCCTAAGAACCGAGGCTTTTTACTCGTCAATATTGAGGCCCTCCATTTTAATTGGCAGAGGGGTAGGGCAACAGAAGCGTAATCGAGGCCGGAACAAGCACACGAGCACGCCGACGACGCCGCGATATGGCAGCCGACGACGCGGGTGCTGGCGCTGGAGCGCTAGTGTCGAAGATAGCTGCGAGTGCCCCATTTAGACTCTGGGCTCGCTGATGTCGCTGGGGATTGACGACTGGATGACGAGCTCCGCTGGAGCCGAATCGTCGGAAGGGATTAACTATTATCATCCGCGCGGGGTACTTGCTCTTCTGGAACGTTTGGATGGAGCAAACACTGGAGGAGGCGGGCAGTCTGCCATTTGAGGGCGCCGCTGTTTGAAGGACAACGGCGGGAGTGGGGGGCGAAGATGTCTTCATTGTGGTCGCGGGTTACAGTATTATTCGGAGTGCGTGGAGCACTCGCAGCGCCCCGATTCCCGTCGATGGTTGAACGCCAGCTCGATGGAGTCTGGGACGCTAGGTGCGAGCGTGGTGACGAACGTAGCGCCGAGTTCGTCAGTTCTGAAGCTTTGAGCCCAATCGAGTCAGTCGGTGGCGCCGAACCAACACGGTCGATTGATCGACGACACTATGGCGGCTTTCCTGCGTTTGGAAGCCGGCTCCCCCGAATTCTTTTGCTGCAGCCAGGGGCGCGGGGCAGTAGAGCTGCTGCACCACGCAGCCTCGGGCTGAGTTGAGTTCCTGCTGATAGGCGAAATGAGCACCAATAGCTGCTTTGTCGTCTTCAGAAGCCTAGGCGTCAAGGGATGATGGCCAGCGGCTAGGACCGACATCGACCGAGCAAGTCCTTGTGCAAGTTCATTACAGCTGGAGCCGCGTCTGTGGGCCTCCCGGGTCCGAGCGCCCCTTCATGACCCCAGCGTCGCTTCGAGATCGATCCATTGCTCTATTTGCCGCCGTCGCCGCGCCGCCATGGGGGACTCGCTCGAGACGCTCATCGCGCGCACGCAGGAGCAGCTGCAGCCGCTGATCGCCAAGCCCAAGCTGGCTGACAAGCTGCTGGCCAAGCCGCCCTTCCGCTTCCTGCACGACGTGTTCACGGCCGTAACGCAGAGCACGGGCTTCGCCAAGGGGCTCTACAATGATTTCGAGCTGGGCTCCGCCAACCTCAAGGACAAGCCGCAGAAGACCGCCTTCCTCGACAAGATGATCGTGTGCGTGGGCCAGTGCCTCGGCAAGGACGCGGACGTGCGCTCCTCCAAGATCGTGGCTGGCCTGGAGCCGGAGAACACCAACTTGTTGCTGCAGGGGCTCGCGCAGGCCGCCAAGGACAAGTCGCTCGACTGGGGCAAGGCCGTGCAGGCCGCTCTAGCCAAGGTGCCGTCGTTCACGGCGGAAGGGGAGGTGGCTCCAGGGGCGGCACCCGCAGCTGCAGCACCGGCCGCAGAGGCCCCACCAGCGGTGGCAGCGCGTCCGTCCTCCAAGGACCGCAGCAGCTCGGCCGAAGCCAAGGAAAAGGTGAACTCACATGAACTCTGCTGTTAATCCTAGTCCGCTCGCTGTGAAGTTGCTAATAATTTCTGATAATCTAGGCACGGCGAGAGAGCGCTGCTGAGCGAAAAGCGGGGCCTGCCCCAACAGCAGCAGCTGCGGCCCCTCCACGCAGTGCAGAGAGCAAAGCCGAAGCTCAAGCGCCGCCTCCGTCATCCAAGCAGGCTGCCCCTGAGACCAGTCGCGCTCCTAGCGGCAAGATCAGCCGTGCCGGTAGCAGCAAGGACAACAATCTGGACGACGCGCTGCTACAAAGCATCGCTGAATGCAATGGCGACGTGGAGCGCACGAAGACGCTCGTGGAGCAGGTGATCTCGAAGCCAAAGATGTCCCCAAAGCTCCTGGGAAAACCGCCATTCCGTTTCCTGCACGACGTCATTTCCGAGTTCACGCGCGTCACTGGCTTTGCCGAAGGACTCTTTTCAGGGGAAGAGCTCGACTCTGGTGCTATCAAGGAGAAGGGCCCCAAGATGGACTACCTCACCAAGATAATCCAGTGTGTGAGCTGCCAATTGAACGTGGAAGTGGAAGCCAAGCCGGCCAAGATTGTGGCAGGGCTGGAGCCTGAGGCCACGTGCAAGTTTCTGCAGCTGCTGACAGTGGCCTGTAAAGCAGGAAACTCCAGCGAGGCCGTGAAGCGCGTGCTGGCAGGCGACACTGCTCTTCGTGGCTCCAGCGCAAATGCCAAGAAACCTGGCAGCCGAGAGCGAACCCCCGAGACCAAGCAGTCTTCGCGGTCTAGTACACCGCCAGAGAACAAGCCGCGAGTGGAGCCTCAGCCTGCTGCGGAGGCCAAAGAGAAACCGAAGGAGGCGGAGCCAGGCAGCTTCTCCGGCCCTGTGAAGCCTCTCGCGGTGAAGAGCAGCGCTGTAGATGCAGACAACGACAACGATGGCGGCAACTTGCGCTTTGGCGGAGAATCGAAGACTGACGATGGAGACGATGGCGGAACTCGATTGGGCACGAGCGCCCCGGGCACGAGTGGAACCAGTCGCACCTCTCGACCTACAACTGCTAGACGACGTCCGCCGAAGCTCAAGGAGAATGTCACCGAGGTGGGGCGGCTGATGGTGCCGGATGCTAAGGCTGCTCCGGTTGCGGGTATCATGAAGGATGGAGACAACAACGATACGGACAGCGAGGACGAAGCTGCTGGAGGAGCCGCAGGAGACGAAACGTCAAACCAGCCTCACTCTGCGCTTCTGCCTGGCGATGCTGGTGCCCATGGACGGCTGGTGCGTGACATTCTGAAAGACCAGAGCGCTGAAGAAGCTGCGCGACGTGCTAACGAGGGCGAGGATACAGCTGCAGCTACTACCAATGAGGCCGAGACTGGTATTCGGCTCGGTCGTCGCAGCAAGTCGTTCAAGCCGGAGCGCATGAAGAGCTCCAGTGCCGCAGCCGCGTCGTCGCTCGCTGAAATGAATGCGCTGCGTGCAGACATCCAGCGGCTGTGCCAAGCGGCCAATCCAGTGGGCAAGAGCGTCGAGTTCGTTCACGAAGACTTGGATGCCATGTCCAAGGAGCTCGAGTTCTGGCGCAAGGAATACGCGCGCAAGCGTGATGCGCTGGCTGACGAGCAGAAGCGTACCGAAGAAGCGCTGCAGCCTCTGCAGGTGCAGCTTCGCGAGGTGGAGGAGCAAGTCAAGGAGCAGCTGCACAAGATCAACTCGCTCAAAGCTGTCATCGCCAAGAACGAGGAGAAGACACAGCAGCTGCTGCGCATGGTGGTCTCTGCTTGAGCCGAGGCCCTCGTTAAGCAGTCAGTAGATGGAGTAAGTGCGTCCATGCATTATCAGCTCTATCATTCAGATATCGTTGCCCAAACCATTTTGTCCCTATCCTTCCACGTCAGCAGTCTGCGTATTGTCCGATGTCGAGTCTCCTTCGGGCTGTTTCCTCTTCCCCAGTCGCTCCCTCACCTCGGGCATGTCCTGTTCGCGCCGTCGAACGCTCTTGGGGACCCAAACCTCGTGCTTATCGCGCCGCAGGTCGTCAAGCGGGCGGATAGGGACTCTGCCGGACGTCCACGGCTCAGCCTGCGCGGCTTGTGTGGGGTTGCCCACCAACTGAGGGTACCACCTCTCGCGAATGCTCTGCTTCTCCTGCTCGTCCAGATCTCCGCGCACCTCCGGGAACCAGTCCAGCAGCCGCTGCAGCACCAGCGCCGAGGCCACCGACAGATTGAGGCTCTCGCTAAAGCCGAAGAGCGGCAAATACACGCGTCGGTGGGCCGCGCGCAGCATCTCCGAACTCACGCCATCGGTCTCACGGCCGATCACGACGGCGAGGCGCGCGGGCAGCTCGCTGGGCTTGTTGCTGGCCGCGAGCGGCTCTGCCTGCGGCGACAGGTCCGTAGCCCAGATGGTCGTGTCAGTAGTGGGTCGCGGCACATTACGCCGGCAGTTTTTTATTTTCATAATTTCTTACCGTAATTTACCTCCGAGAACGGTGCTAGAACGATCTTTGTGGATAGTCGTCCGTTTTACCTACACGACCTCTCAACCACCTCAGAGCTCGAGGAAGCAGCGAGCCTGTAGTCGTGCAGGATCGCACATGCGAGGGTAAGATGAAACTCCCAATAATTACTGGCACATTACGACGTCATTTTCGGAATTAATATTTTTCTCAAAAAAATTAAGAGGCTATGTATATAGATACCCACACATAGAACATGACGATCGAACTATCTTTCGGAAAATACAAAGGTCAATCCATTGAGGATGTATTCAAGATTGATCCTGGATGCTGTCGTTGGATTCACAACCAACCCAGTCTCAACATTAGCGAGGAAATGAAAATCTTTCTTCACTCAAGATTCCTAAATAACGATAACTCCTATATGATGACGTGGGGTAAGTATCGAGGCAAATCTTTACAGCAGATCAGTAAATTGGATTTAGGCTATCTCGATTGGCTAAGAAAAAGTCAATTCGTGATTGACAAGTGTCCAAAGCTACTCAAGGAACTGAACTAAAAAATATCTCTTTTTTTTACTTACGCTGTAGTGAAGTCTAGAACCTCTCTGGTTAGGCTATCGAACGTTAGTTCCTGTTCGCTAATTACGAGGATCAGCATATTCACACCTTGGCATCCGGCGTTCGTACCTTGGATCTGAATAGCCTGAGGTACATCGCGCTCAGTCAGGCGACTGACATCGGCAATAAGCATGCGGTTTGTGAGCGACCACGTCTGATAGTCAAGTAGACCATTTACGAGCTCAGGGGTTAGATCTCCGTTAATCGCTGAAATCTTAGCAATTTCGTTGGTAAAGTGGTGGAAATCATAGTCATGACTGATATCGAACACCTGAGTCGAGCCAATACGAACGTTAAAGTTGCGAATCGACGACCCGGGCTGAAGCGTGTATGGAGAGCTATCGAAGGGGCTCTGGAACTGCTGAACAGTAGCAAAAGCAAAGTTGTTTGTCTGTTCCGCGAATGGTAAAAGCACAACATATTTCGCGTTTTTAACACTTGCCGATAGCTGTAAATCGAAAGAAGCATTGAGTTGAGTCGAGGACTTACCAATACCAGCACGCTGGTAAAACCACTGTGCGTAGCAATCATTGTAGCGAACCTTCTTAACCGACTTAGAGATAATAGCTTGAGGGTTCTCAAGATGAACAAAAGAGACATACAAACGAGCAGTAGTAAAAGGCATGTATGTACCATCGATGGTAGGTTCAAGAGCATTTACAACCGCTCCCCAAGCAACACTAAAGCCAGCAGATGCGGCAAGCACACCATTCATCGGATTGCCGGTAGCAGAAGCGGCAATCATGACCGGACAACTATTACCAGACGATAGAGTAGTAGAGGTGAGCGACATACCCTTTGAAGCATCTACCGCGACTACAGACGTTCCCTGATTCACACGGAAACGCAGGCGGATTTGAGGGTTAGCCATCAAGTCAAGCTCACGGAAGATAGGATGCAGATCGGTGAGCTTAATCTTAAGCATGTAGTTCCACGTTCCCATGATTGCGTTAGCAGCAGTACCACCAGCTACGAAAGCTCCGCGCGAGGTCTGGTTAGAAATGGTAGTCGATGCAGCAGCACCACCTACCGACGGCCACGGGCTGGAGAAGTCAGCGCCAGCCGTAGGAGGATTCGATAGAAGGCGCTTAACGAAACCATCATTAGGAATAGTTGCATCACCAGGAGGAGCCGAGACAGCAAAGGAAGACGAGAATGCCATGGTGTTTGAATATCCATCACCACTGGTAGATGCGGATCCAGAACTGTATGATACCGACTGAGCAGCATCAGGGTACAAGAACGATTCAGCTCCGTGCTTTTCAACGTACTGAGGGCTGTAGCCAGTCTGAGCACGAACGTTGTTCCAAAAGAGCTTGTAGTCAGCCATAGAGACGATAGTCTTTCCGCTGAGTTCCAGACTGAGACTATCAATAACGTTCCAATTTCCGCATTTTAGAGTAGCACATAGACGATTGGCAGCGGCAGTTTGAGCAGTGCCACCATTCTTCATTGAGACCTTGTAGGGAAGCATAATGTAGGCATCACGAAGGCTTGCGAAGCCTTCGGAACCGTTAAGCTAAGCCGTAGCATCGATAGTGATGACACCATTCTGGTACGAACCCTGATTTAGGTCAATAACGTGCGGTACACGCTTGCTCGAAGATACCTTGATCTCCGGGTCGCTCTTAAGCGAGCTCTGGTACAAGTACTGATCGGATAGTTGAGTTTCGCTCATCGTTGAATCTATATGGATCCTAATATAGTTTGATAAAATTAAATATTATGTCGCACCTCATCAAGCCAATCACCTCAGATCATGATCTCATCGAACTCGCTGAGAAAATGAACGTTTAACTCGATAATATATTCGAATCAAATGAGATAAAGTCCCATCTCCCCAAGAAAGGGTCATTTCTGATTCTACTTCGCCCTCCTAATCTTGAGGTAGGACACTGGACGGCGGTTCATAATGGTGAATTCTTCGATAGTATGAGGGAAGGACCACCAAAGAAGTATGGTATCGATCGATACAACACCAAGCAATACCAAGGAACCTATGGAGACTACTGTGGACCGTTCTGTGTCCTATGGCTATATTCGAAGCAATACCGTAAGCCACATGTATTCAAAACAATGAAAGATCTAAATTTGACAATAAATTTAATTCAACGTATATAGTAATCATGTATCGCGAATTAACAATCTCCAGTGATATTCCTGCGCGGAAGCTTACCAAAGCTTTCAAGACTGGTAAGCTCAGCCTCACCTCAAGCGAACTAAAGGGTAGTGGTTCAGTCATCCATCTCCACCCTGCTTCGTTTGAAAAGGCGCTCAAGGCTCGTAAAGCTGGACGCGGTGTCAGACTCGACATTACCAAGCACGAAGTGAAGAAGGGCTACAAAAAGGCTCAAGGAGGCTTTATCTGGTCCAAAGTATGGGGAGGGATCAAGTCTGCATACAAATTTGCTAAGGATTCAGGTCTACTATCCAGAGCCGTTGATGCGGCGGTTCCTGCTTTAGCTACTTATGCTGATCAGCCAACGGCTGCTGTTCCAGCCAGAGCTGCAATCAAGTCCCTAACCGGCATTGGTATTTATGATTCCGATAGCGACAAGGAAGGAGGTCGCGTATCAATGGCTGACGTAAAGAAGGCTGCAAAGAATGCTCTTGCATACACGAAGCGCAAGGGGGTCATCACCGACGCGGTCGATGCTGGAGAGAAGTTCCTACTATCAAAAGCTACCAAGCCGGAACATGAGGATCTAATCAGATCTGTGCGAAAGGAGGTTCGTCGCCGCTATGGTGTAGGCGTAGCAAAGAAACGTCCAGCGAAGGGTTCGCCAGAGATGAAGGCTAAGATGGCTGCGCTCAGGGCACGTCGTAAGACTGGTGGTTCGTTTACGTTGTAGCCGCCCTACACAAAAATACTCTGGATGTCTTATTTTTTTGGAGGAATCAGAAGCATGATGGATACCGACGTATCTCTGAAAATCACTTTTTTATCATTTTGTTTATAGATACTGAGTGTAATACTAGCTCGAGCGCCATTATGACAGTTCATCCACGCATACTGGCTCGGTTTGTATGAAATGACCTTTCCAATAGCGGCATCACCTCTATCAAAAGCACTGACAATATCACCAGAAGCCACGTATTCGTTTTTGATCAGATCGCAACGAACGATGTAGGAACTGGTCGGGTAAATCTGAGGAATGATGTTCGATAGCTGAGCACTTGCAACAGTAGCTGATGTGGAGGGGTATGTACCCGCTGTGAGACCAACTACTTTACCGAATTCAGCATTATCGATGATCAGTCGAGGAACGCGAGTAGTAGTCGGCAATCCAGTACCACCAGAGGAGTATAAACCGGAGGTAGGTCTGGTCCATGTTCCACCGGTAGTTGGTAGAGTTGTAGGCGTAGGAGAGAAATCAAGCACTGTTAGCACTCATTTTGATATAGACTACGTTATTCCCCGACGGATCGATTAGATACGCCCCAGCATTGACAAGAGCAGTCTGAATGCTTCGGTTGATATCGGCATACGAATAAATACCATCAGAGAGGGATACACTGATTGTGGATGTAGTTGCAGCGGTAGGTACTTCGATTTTGAACGTTGTGTTCTGAAATTGCATTGAATCAATGTTATACTCGCTGTCATACATCGAGTATAACATTGATTCAATGCAAATCGAAATCGATTGAATGGCACATACTACATCGCGGAAGTCACCCGCCGATCCGGGAAAGGAGTATTTCCAGGTTGAATTGGTTCCATCTTGTACCAGATTGGTGCTGTCGAGTTTGATAAAGCTGGACATATTGATTATATGTTTGTAGGCATATTTTTGTTTGATAAATTGGAATTAGTCCTCGATACGAATCGGTCTATCGAAGTTATACCTGATCTGACCCTTGACCGAATCACTGAAGAGCATTTGGCCCTTTCGCTCCGTGGCTTTGTTGTAATAATAGACGATTGAACGCTCATCTACTCCCTTGATATTAAAATCTTTCACAACCATCTGGAGGTCTCGCTTAGAATTAGCTTTCAGGGTCGCTACGTACTCTGAGTTCAATCTGATCATCTTGTCCGTTGCGAAGTAGCTGTGGCTCAAGAAGATGGTTGATAGCTTGAAGTGGCACCCTCTAGTGAAGTAATGTGAGAACAAATTCTTCTGAAGAAGCTTATCGTTGCTGTAGTCATCGATGATGACGAGCTCAGGCTTATTGGAATTAATTGGTGTATGACGTACCCGTTCAACACTCGGAGGCGAGTCAGGGTCGGCGAATGTGATAAAGCCATCAAGCTTATCACGAAGATACTCATATAACTCCTGGTGAGGATTACGAGCAATGATCGTTAGATGAGCAAATACGTGAGGAGAATGCTTGAGGATGAACATACATAAGTTGGTCTTCCCTGAGAACGATGGCTTCAGAACCACCATTCTAAACAGCGCTTTGATGTCAAGTGCTGGAATATCACCCATAGAGGCGCTTTTGAATTTTTTAGGGATTGAAGCTCCGAAATCTGGAATACCGATCATGATTATCGTCTAAACTATATAGGATCAAACAAAGATGAGTTCAGATTTTTCTTATCCTAGCCCGATATTCACATCGCCGATTTATAATCCGGCATTCTTTCTCCAATTGGATGCCAGCGGGTTTCTAACGTATGACTATGCTCAGACTCTTTATCTGAACAAGTATGACTATCGCTTGACGTACATTACCGGTGTCTCTCAAGGCGTAGCATCACCTGGTGTAGCGCTTGTCCCTGGAAGTGGTGGGAACATCAGCGGTCTTGGAGCACTAAGCTGTAGTAGCCTAACTGTTAATGATGCTTCCGTTTCAGGCGTACCAACGTATGTAGCTGATATTACTCCAGGTACTGCCGCTATCAACAAAGCTCTGGTGCTTGGTGCATCAGGTGAAATTGCTACTATTAGTAGTTTGACGGCAACGTCGATTACTGGCACGCTGCAGACAGCGGCTCAGCCTAATATTACTAGCTTAGGCACGCTATCGTCCCTCACCGTGAGTGGAAACATATCTGGTACATTGGCAACTGCTGCTCAGACCAACGTAGCTAGTGTAGGGACACTCCCGTCGCTCACCGTGAGTGGAAACATCAATGGAACGCTAGCGACGGCTGCTCAACCAAATATCACCAGCTTAGGTACGCTTACTGGATTGACTATCGGAGGCAATTTAACCTTTACTGGTGCAAGTCGATTCATTACAGGTCTTAGCTCGCTACCTGCAACTAACATTACTGGTACGCTACAGACTGCTGCTCAGCCTAATATAACATCGTTAGGTACTCTAACCGCTGTAAATTGCTTGGGCAATGTATCGGGTACGCTAACAACAGCTGCTCAGCCCAACATTACCAGCCTAGGAACCCTGAGCTCGCTCACAGCGACGTCGATAACAGGAACGCTACAAACCGCTGCTCAGCCTAATATTACTAGTCTAGGTACGCTTAGCAATCTAACCCTTAGCGCTGGTGGAACCGGTTTATTCATTCCGAATCTGAAATTTTGGGATGGAGTCAGTTCTTTGATAAATTTCAATCATGCTTACTTTCTCAATGTTATCGAAGGGGGCGCTTCAGCCAGTAGCGTTGTGGTTCTCAATAGTACGAAAGATTACTCAGGCATTCGCGATCTAACCATATCACGAAACTTTATAGCTTCGACTTCAATATCATCGCCTACGATCACATGTGATACGATTAGTAAGTCAGGTACTCAAACTATGAATGCAACGATCTTGAATATCAATCCTACTACGCTTCAACTCAGGGAAGATACTCTCAATGCTACAGGTGCGGAGCTGAACAAGCTTGCTGGATGCACAGCATCTACCGTTGAGCTGAACTATCTAGATCTTACCACCGGAGCAGGAACTGCAGAAGCATCAAAGGCTCTTGTACTAGACTCTAATAGTAGCATCTCATCAGGTATCTCATCTCTAACGTCAACCAATCTGATATCCACTACTTCTACCCAATGTCAGATTGCGGCCGGGACATCATTTACATCAACAACGCGTGCCTCTGATTTTAATCTCATGATTCATAATCAAAGCAATACGGTTGGCGCTCAGGCCGGATTATCGTTCACGATTGAAGGTACTAGTGATATGACAACGTACACCCCTAGCGTTAATCTATATTGTACTAGAACCGCTACGAGTCTTCAATATTCAATGGCTGATTTTGCAATCAGTAAACGGTCAGGAGCTAATGCATTATCACCAATGACTCAACGTATGAGAATCACTCAAGCAGGATACATTCGCTTTGGATCAGCTACCAGTACTGCAAAAATAGATATAGTTTCGAGCGCGAATTTACTAAGCGGGTCTTGGCAACGCGCAATGCGTATAGCCAACGATGCTACTACTCCAATCAAATTTGAAATTCAGGTATACAACGATGTCGCGGGAGGAAGTAGTGGTGTAGCTCTAGGCACCACTACGAGCGACCCGCTAAGGTTCATGGTTGGAAACACAACTCAAGCTTATCTAAACAGCTCAGGAAGACTGGGAGTTGGTATGAGTACGTGGTCGCCAGAAGCAATCATTCACTCAGGCGGAGAGGTATGGGCGAATAATTTCATGCACGTAAAGGGAGGTGGCGATGGATTTGCTAGGTATCGATTCAATTGGTCTCAGACAGACTATCCAGCGATTGGTACTGATTCAACCATAGGAGCTATCAGGTTGGGAAAATGCGATGCTAATTACGCGTGGACAGCCTATGTCCCGGTGCGTGGAGGAAGCTATACCAATGCAAGCGATGAGAGGTTGAAGGCGGACATTGTAGACTGTCCCTATGGTTTGGCAAGCCTTATGAGAATGAGACCTAGAAAATTCAGGATGGTTCAAGAGCAGACTGTCCATGTTGGCTATACCGCGCAGGAGCTGTATAAGGTCATACCAGAAGCAGTAGATATCGGAGCAAACGATGAGCTTAATCCGGATGGGTTTCCAGTGAATCCATGGGGAATCGATCTCGCCCGTTTAACCTCGGTACTGTGTAAATCTATCCAAGAACAGCAAGGTCAAATCAATAATCTCAAAGCTGAACTCAATGAGTTGAGAGCGATTATGTCTGAGTAAATATAGAATGGTATCTGTCAAACCCAGGTCGTGGCGAAGACCGCTTGCCCTCAGACTACTAACGCTAATGTCGTTGATACTGATCAACTACAATGTGATCGAATTGTCGAATTCCACGAGAGGGTTATATATGGTATTGGCTCAGGGATAATTTCGCACCGATAAATATAGAGCAGATCTTGAGTACTTCGTTGTAATAGAGTATCATGGGCTGCGGACCAAGTAAAATGATCAAAAAGAATCTGACTAACCCTGAAATTGGCCAAGTCATCGGTTTAATAACGATGCACGCTGGAGTGGTTTCGATATGGAATAATGCTTATATCCCAATGTACAACGTACATAGTGGCAAGAATGCTGTCATGGCTATCGATATCGGAGATAAAAAAATCAGATTCTATCGCGAGAAGAAAACAGACGTAGACATCTAAGTATATCCGCTCTGCTCTATAGAGCAAATGTCTTCACAGACTTTGACTTTTTTTTTGGCTGGTAAGCCCAGACTCGGCCGCCTTCAGTTTGGGTAGATGCCTCCACATTCTTGGTCGACTTGTCGAGGTCAGTAGCCCACACAGCGGCTTGGGTCTTCTGGGGACGATCATGAATGATGAGGTTCTTCATGATAGCTTTCAACTCAGCGACGTTGAGGTCGCTATTGTCACCATAGCTGCCTCCGGAACTGGATATAATGCGCGAGTTGAAGAAGAACATGGTTTTATAATAAACGGGTGATAATATATTTGAACTCTTTATCATCAATCAGTCGATTGCTGTACATATCCACCGTGGGAGACTTGAGCTGCTTGATGATACTGGGGTTGTCATTTCCAAGTTGTAGCTCTCCTTTTAGCTTATTGTATTCAGCCCTAAGGGTATCTAGAGGATCCTCTAACTTATCGTGGAAGCTGTATTGGAGATGAGTAATCAATAAAACCTCCTTGAACAGTTTCTTATCTTCAACGCTGAGTTTATCGTAAGCGGATTGATCGATACGGTTCTTATAGACAAGTGCCTTGATCATGGCTTGGAGGCTATCACTGATTTCCCACTTAGGACCACATTTACGCCGATTCGGCTGAACGATCACGAGCTTTTTAGCATCAAGGTCGGGGATACGAATATACTTGCTTCCGATCTGCTTGTATGTGTAGGCTGACGGCGTTGCTAATCCTTGGATCTCATTGCGATTGTAGGTACGGCCTCGGCGAACTACACCTTCCAGCGGGGCAACACCTGCACCGCGCAATCCTCGACCTTGAAGCTTTCGTTTAACGCCACTGCCGGATACCTCGCTTGCCTCGGCGTATCGCTTAGCCTTCGTTTGATATATCGATTTTGTCGCCTTCATAGCTGATGTAGCTGCCTTCAACACCGATCTCGCTGCTTTTGAGTTATTCCCTCTAACAGCCTCTTTTGCTTCTTCATAGCGTTTCTGAGCCTCACCGTATGTCTGAAAAGCTGCTTCTGACTCATCATGAAGCTTTTGCAAGCAACAATCGTATTCATACTCTTCAACGCTTTGCTGTCTAATATCGTGTACAGACTTTAGAATAGCCTCATTCAATATTTCAAGATTAGCATCCAGGTTTTTACGTCTTTTCTTATCAAGCTCCTTTTCTTCAAGTATCTTAGCTTCTTCTTCATCGCTCGATGGGAAGGGGTATTCAACCTCATTAAGATAGCGGTCCAAGTCCTCAACCCCGTTGAGTAGGGACGAAAAGGTATCCATCCACATGATATTCTTCATTAGCCCCTTCCAAGCTACACCACTCACCTGCTTGTGTGCTTTGTTTTCACGATTTAAAATATTTAGGGGTCTAGACCCCGATGGCTGCCCAAAGTAGTATGATGGATGGGACTTAACAACACCGTTGATTTTCACGATTGGTTGTAGCCGAAAGGGAATATCAATACTATTAGCGTGCAACTGGCTGTAGTAATAAGTTAAGATATTCTTGGCGTCGTTATCAGCGTTTGATAGGCTTGGGTCCATGTCTTCATCAATACCACTCATTAACCCATGCTGAGCTTCACCATTAGCTGGGGTAAAATCATTTATGTGTTTGGTTTCATTGCTACCAACTAGTTCTAACTCGAGGTCCCTGGCTTTAGTCATATTAATGAAAGATTGGAATGTCATTATCCAGTTCACTTTCTGAGTGATTGCTTGCTTCACACGATCGCTATCTTTCCCGTAAACGCTAATGCTATTGCCATTGATCCAAACATAGCCATCTTTGTCAATAGGAGAAGATTTTGCGGAACCATTAAGAATTGGTACAATCTTCTTTATCAATCCGTTAGATTCAAGGACTTCCCTATTTTTGCTAATTGTCCAAAATAATTTGAGCTTGCTGTCCATTTGATCGGATCTTGTGGATGTTCCAGTATCGAACACAAAACTGTCGTCAAGTCTCTGCTTAGAGCGGTCTGAATAATCTCCTTCTGAGGCATTGATTCTTTTTCTTTTTGAGCCGATATTTTGCCAGACCTGGTATGGGCTATTTTAGTCCTCTTTACCCATCTCATTACGTCGCTCCTTCTCATTGACGTATGCGAGGAATCTGACATCATTAATTAATACCTCACCAATATGGTCATACGTCTCAGACCAATCAATGCTCGGAACTAGTACATATTTTCTCAGTTTAATACTGTACACCTTAGCATCCATCCCAATATAATACTTAGTAAGCTGCCGGCCGTTGGAAGCAATAGGATGAATATTGGGTAAACCTCGAAGATTTTAGCGACCGCTTCCTTTGACTTTGTTTGATTTTTCATCTCAGCATTGCCTTCGTCGAACAAATCTTCTTCGACGGGCTTTTGCGGCAGTGGACTATCAGGGCCAACACCAGCATCTGTCATTCTTGCACTATTATCAACTCCAACATCAGTCATATCGGGGCTCACGTGGACCCAACCATCACTGGTTTTGGGCTTAGCAGTACTGGAAGCATCAACGGACTGAGGCTTTGCAGTAGTCGATGCATCGTTCATTTCAGGTGTTGCATTAACTTCAGCATCTACCATTGTTGAGGGCTCAGGTTTTTTTTGGGAGTTTTCAATATTCAGACTTTTTTTTAACTCTTCCGGCGTAGCCTCGTCAGGGCCAACCGAAATATCAGACTGAGCGGATTGTGTTGATTTCTTTGGAACAGTAGTGATACCATTCGCGATATCGCTAGCCCATGATGCACCTTCGTACATAAGGCGCTTGGACTTGGCTTGACAAACTCGGCGCTCAGCTCGTTCGAGTAGCTCCTGCCGCTTTTGCTCTCGTTGAGCGAGGGATGTAAAGTTGGGAAATATCGTCTAACTATATCATGGTAGTCATAAAAAAATATTAGCATCGATTAAATACATACTCACCAATAGCTTGGCATAACGGAGTCATGCCTAAATGGATGATACGTATGACAGATACGGTTTCGCTCATTGAGGAGATTGATGTATCGATCCTTGATGCAATGAAACGGCACACCAAATATCGTTTCTAACTGGTCGCGGTACTGTAGATTGCACACGGCTTTCCGGAAATTGGCTACTGGGTCTAAATCTCTGAGTTATTTTTGATTCGACTAACCTCTTGAATTATCCACAGCTTTCTTCGGAGCTGTACAAGCTCACGTTGATTCTCTACGCAGTTGCAACACATTCTATATATGAAGTCATATATTTTTAAGCATTATTTTTGGAAAATAGATTGATAGATATAGATGAGTCAACGCTTACAGAGGATTGCTCTACTAAACTTATTTCGAAGCTAGTTCGACTCATTTTTTATCGACTTCCAGTACTCATTCTCTAAGGTTGATCTCTTGTTCTTATTGACTAATCTAAGATTATCTTGTGGCTCCCAGGAGTCAAATTCATTACCGACCCACTGATCGAGATACTTGTACTTGCCGGATCGCATCTTTTTGTGGTCTAAGATCTTCTCCACCTCTTAAATATCACCTCTGTTGATAGTAGCTTCAGATGTTTCTGCTTTAACATTTTTAGATCGTTTGGCCCCTTGTAAAGAGTGTGTCCGTTTTTCGACTTGATTTGGATGCGGTAGCCATCAATACCTACCACCGAATACACAGCCTTAGACCATCTTGCTGCTTCTTTATCAAATGTTTTCTTTTTTAGTCGATACAAAACCTTTTCACCGACCTCGAACTCGTTTTCAATCCTCTCGGCTTCAGCCTGGTTGTGGACTAGTTCAGATTCAATTACCTTACCTTTAGCTTCGTTGGGGGTCATACCAATCGTCCGATGGGTCGTGCTATTGTAGTTCTCAACAACAGCAGCTATGAGCTTCTGGGTTAGTCGCTTTGGTTCGATTTTGACAAGGCGCTGCTTCAGAGTTCTATTGAAGCGTTCAATTTTACCCATTTTGGCGTGATCTCCAGGCTCATTGTTGAAATGGTCAATTTTCTTAGTTTTGAATAATTTCTGAGCCTGTTGGTTCATGAATTCTGAACCATTATCGGTTGTGAGAATGTCAACCTTATAGAGGCGGATAAAAACCCTAATTGCTGCTAGTACGGTCGGGCCAGTTTTGTTGGTTAGTAGTTTTGCGTAGCCTAGGCGAGAGTTGATGTTGATCGCAGTCAAGATTGTTTTTTTCTCCCAAAACGCCAAGTCCATCTGCCACGAATTGGGGTTAGTCGATGCGATTTTGAACCCATCGTATCGCTTCTTCTGCTCCTGAAATCGCTGAATATCGCTCTGGTTTGAGTACCATTCCTTGACGATTTTCATCGTAATCTTCGGCTCCAGTTCTTTAGCCTTCTGGTATAAGGCTTGGGCACCCACATAGCCCGTTTTGGGGTCATAGTATAATTTGGACAACAGCTGATCCATCGCTCTATATGGTTATAAAACAAAAAAATCCCCTGCCAGGTAGTTGCTTATATGTCGAGCGGTTCGGTGGTGATACCATCCGCGAGTACACGACGCTTGCCATAATAGTAGTTTAGAGCTGTTTTAGTCTGGGTGTACGTAATGATTGACTTACTCTCCTTACTGAGTCTAAACCCCTTGTTGGTGCCCTGTAGCGTGATGCGATCGCGAACAACTGATTCAAAGCCATCTGGGTTGAGGACGTCGCCATTGCGGCCACCACTCTGCTGGACTCCCTTCGCTGAAACCTTGACCTTGTAAGATTCGTCTGGTAGGTAGCAAATGTAGTTCTTAGAGGACAATGATACCATAGCATCACCAGACCACTCATCCTTGAACAAACCTGGCGTTCGGCGATCAAACTGAGCCATCTCTTCGCTATAATCACGTGGGAACCACTCGTACTTATGCTGCTGAAAATGCTCACGAAGCTTGGGCTTGATACACTCAACGAATGGCTTCTCACAGCTGAACGCAATATAAGCCGAGTCTGTGTCCATTTCTTGGTACTGGAATTCCGAACGGTCAAAGTAGAAGTCAATGCAATCATAGTAGAATTGCAACATACGGAGCTTAGCGAGCTGATAGATTGCAATCGATAGATGAATTGGGTTCTTATTGTTGAGCTTTCGCTTCTTCATAGTGAATTCACATGAATCATTCAGCTCTTCCATTCCATGGAAGGTGAAGTGCTCAATCTTGGCCTTGATTGCCTTATCGTCCGACTCATACCTGACCTCCTTGTGCTTGCTCATGTCCATGCCAGATCGACCAAACGCACTATTACCAACCAGTTTCATCATCTCAGCAATCCTAGCCTTATTATTGCTACCCTCACTAAGCGTTTTCAGCTTAGTCAACAAGTCTAGAACCAAATGAATCTTAGGATTGGTTGTCGATTCATTCATGAATCTATCGATAATGAGCGCATCAAATGATTTAGGGTTCGTAATGTTTTTTTCAACTCTTGGACTAAATCATCCATATCAGAGTCAGATACCTTCTCAATAATGATCTTACAGATGGATTTAACATTTTCATCACCCTCTCGTCGCGCGCTCGATACGGCTTCCATGAATGGTGCAAATGCCTTGTGAGAGCTAGCCTTGATGAAGCTGTAAGTCTTGGTGATCTCCATACCATGAGAAATGTACCATTTGAGTAGCGGTGCATAAATGAGGATCTTCTCACCAAAGTAGCTCCCGATGAGTTTGCGAGCCGGCTTTGCTCGGCTTTGCTTGCGCTCCTCGTTGTACTCGAACATGTGCTGACCGATGACACTCCGATCGCTGCAGTCGATAAGGGTGTTCTTGAAAATTGGGGTCATTTCACTGAAGTAGGGTTTGAGGTGCTCTGGTGTACGGATATCACACTCGAGGAAGCCAAAGATCTTGTAATTTCAATATCATCGACGATCCCTGTGTATGCTTCGATGGTAGTCAACCGTCCACATGGCATCTCATTACCAAGAGCCCACAAATACAGAGCATTAGCATCGTAGCCGATGATCTTTTTGCAGATCCTACCCCCTCGAATCTTGGTCTCGTTGCGTTTCGCGTATCTGTTGAAGATGATAGAAGGACCACCAGCAATGTTCGCCTTCATCTTGGTGTACATGTCCTTCTCCTCTCTATCGATACTGTACACCAACATGTCTGAGTTGAATTCAAGTAGCTTCTTGTGGCGGAAGCCCTTTAGCGACATGCTCTTGCGAGCAACGTTGCATCCCACACAGCTGATCAAGATATTACCATCGATGTATCCGAGCTTGTTATTGATTCGGTCAGCCGAGGCAGTATCAGCTGTGAGTTGCTTGTAGCATAGCCCACACAGGTACTTTTGTCGCTCTAGCAAGTCGTTGAGGTGTTCTAGCGTCATATTGAATTCACGATCGGCATCAGCATCCTGGGTCTTATATCCACTTAAGCGACTAGCGGGAAAGTCAAACGCTTCAGCAGGCTCCTTACTTGGTTGCTGGAGGTTGTTGAAGCACGTCTGATACATGACTTTCTCAGAGAGACCAGGTAGCGACACACTATCAGTGAACATATCAAGTTCGAAACGGTTGAATAGTTCTCGCTGGGCTTTGATGGCCTTGATGAAGGGTACAACATCGAGGTTGTTGTACCAAATGAGTAGATCCTTGATTGACTTCATGCCATAGTGTTCCCAGACGAACTGTACCCGCACATAGTCCTCGTCGCTGATGCTAGTGCTACGAAGAGCACTGTTGAACGCCGACTTAGGAGGGACTTCCGGCTGACTGAGTACGTCAAATGAAGTAATGTACTCGTACGGGAAGATGCCTTTTCCTAGGCCACAGACGCATCGAATCTTGTCATCACACTTGCACTCACCGAGATATGTCGACAAGTACTTTGCATAGCTGGTGCCTGCCGGAACATAGTTGCTAATGTCAAGCATTTTCATGTCTGACGTGGCGATGCACATGTAGCTAGGGTTCTTGATGACTGATGTGATGTTGTCGGTACCGATGACTGCAAACAGGTCCGCCTTGATAAGGTTGATGTCGTAGCGTCCAGAGTTGAATCCGAATACTGGTACCTGACCAATGCACTGCTTCAGCTTGCCATAATCCGAGCGCTTCTTACCGAATGTGAGCTTGCTGTGGAAATCGAAGAAACAAGCAAACTCCCCGCTCTGAATCCAAGCATTGACATCATCCATCTTGTACGTCTTACCCAAGTCTAGACCAGGAACCTCAGCGTCAGTCAAACCATGGACGTTGATGATTTTGCGGAGCAAAGACTCGTACTTCGAGACGTTGTACTGCTGAATCTTAGCCGCAACTTCCTTGATGTACTGGAACATATCCTTGAGCAACTCCTTCGGGTCATCGCTGACAAAGCATCGCACCTCCTCAGTCAAGCTGTCGGCCACGGAAACAGACACAGGAATATGTTCGTTTGTGAAGATAGTATTCTCTCCGTTTTTGACACCCGTAGGCTTGAGGATAGCCTCAAAATCATAGACAATGAAGTGATCGATGTAATGGTCAGCATCCTTGATGGAGTCCTTAGTCAGCATGGAACGAATGCTGTTCGGAGCGGGTTGGTAGATGGTTGGCTGAGCTGGGAACGATTCGATGTTCACGAGTTCGCATTGGTTCTTAGTGTGGTTGCGTAGCTTATCAGAGCTAACAAACACCATCTCACACGTAGAGCATTGGTACTTCTGCTGGAGCATATCAACGTTCGTGATGTAGAGAGCGTGATTCTCGTGCGACAGGATGTTGATCGAATCATAGTCCTTGTCCGAGCAGCGAATGCATTCAACCTTGCCCGTCTCAAAATCCATGTTGAAGACGTTGATGTTCAGCTTGAAGCACTCCTCAAGCTAATCGAATTGGAGAATGTCGATAGGCTTGAAATTGCGGAACAGACCCAGAGTGTAGGTGATCTCCTTGTACGAACAGTACTGCTTGAAGGCTTGTTTCACCAGAGCCTGGATTCTGCGAGGATCCTTCTTGGCTCCCTCCTGCTTGTGATAAGCAATGCAGTGGAAGACACACTTGTTGTTCGTCTTGGGGAAGTTGATGACGTGCTTGTTATTCACGAATCACCTTAGGAATGACAGCCTCGCTATCACCCAGAGCATGGTCGCGTTGGTAGATATAGATTTTGAAGCCAGTAATCCCCTTCACCATGTACCCGGAGCTGGGGTAGTTGAGCTTGTCAGCCAACTCCATGGAGCGAATCTCCGAGATCACCTTCTTACGAATATCAGCCTTGCTGTTGATAGCTACAGGAGTGCTAAATACAGACGTGTTGCTAATATTCGGGTGGAAGTAGCGAGTCTCGCTGTCATCAGTTCTGCTGACAAGCTTGTATCCAAGAGCGATGTTGACCTTGAAGGCAGACTTCTGGGTTGCGAGCACGTTCTCGAGCTTGTCGTAGAACTCAGCAGGCTGAATTCCCTCGTAGAGGTGCGACTCCATGTTCTTGCCTTGGTAGAAGCGGTACTTACTGTCTTCCTTGAAATCAGCAGCCACCTTCTTTTGGAGCTTGCCTAGACTGATCTGGTACTGCTTCGCTACCAATTTTTGGTTGGTGGGGTGGGAAATGTTGCTAATGTATACCATGCGCCCCGTCTTGCCACGTACCTTAATACGGTAGCTACTACCCCATCGAATGGGTTGAATATTTAATCTCTTTAATCCTTCGAGTTCGTATGCAAACATGTTGCCTATATATGCTTGACTATATTATTCTCCGTAGATATGACTTTATAATTATTTGACCTTGTATCAGGATCGACTTTATATCTTAGTCATTTACAAAATATTCTGAAATTAATTAATTCAAATATTTGGCTTATACCTTTTTGGAGGTTTTAAGCCATTGTCTTTGACTATATTGGGATTGACTTTTTGAGAAAAAAAATTAATTAATTCATTAAGTTCGGTTTCATTATTAAGTTCGACTTCACCATCAATAAGTTCGGTTTTGGGTTGACGCTTGCGAGCTGATTCTTGTCGTCGTAGCTCTTTTGATACGACAAGCGAGCGTCGCGTGTGCGCTGATAGTAGCGCTTCTGTGCTGCTTTGATGCGTTCCTTGCTAGCTTGGTATTGCTCAGGAGAGTACGCCATCATTGTATATTACTAACTTTATATTTATTAGGATGAAAAAAATGTCACTGCCCCTTGTGACATCGCCGATGTTCCTTGCCAGCTAAACCAAGTATTAATGGTGAAGCAGAGAATTGGCAGAATCGTGTATTATAAGTTTAAAGTAGTGTCGACGGACCGCCACGTCAAAATGAAGCTATCCGGTCCTGTAATACTGCTGGGTCCAAGCACACACGTAGCTAGTTGTCTTCCGACAGGATGGAGTAAATCATGCCCGCAATCTGCTTCACTGATTCAGGTGCAGGAACGTCATTCTCCATCACCATCATCACGGGTGTCGCACGCTCAATTCTTTCATCCAGACTTCTCGAGAAGACCCATTCCAAGAAGTTCGTGACAATGCTGTACACTTTCGGCAGTCCTTCTACATCCGCAAGTGCTTCACTTCCCACGTAAGCTTGAGCAAGACCCTGCTGGAAATCGTCACGTTTCGCTTCCACAATGCAAACTCGTTTCTCGCCGCGCTTAAGCACGAACTCAAAGGCTCCGTCTCCGTGAACACGTTTCCCAATCACGGTTTCTTCGGCCAGGATTTGGACGCCTCCATCGAACAGCGCACAGACACTTGCAAGCACGGGCACGATGAAGTGCAGTCGCTTTGCTTCTTTGCCAGTAATGATATCTCCAAAAGCCTTGATCAAGATAGGAAAGTATCTATGCAGCGCATCAAGCTTTTCGTCAGGGATAGGCTTTGACGATGGTCGATACTTGGTCGCTGGCATGATGCTGTCAATCTCCGGGAACGACACGTACGAGAAACCCGTGGAGCCGGCAGCCTTCTTCGCTTTCTTGTTCTTATCAAGAACCTCGTTCAACTTGTCCCATCGTCTCTTGCGACTCGGGTGCGGTGCAATTTCAGCGTCCTGGACTTCAAGGCACTCCCGATCTGCAACCACCAGCACGTGAATCGTCTTCTTCGTTGGAGCACCTTCAAACACGTCGCCAATCTCATCTGCTGGGTCCATTTCCACGTTCAGCAGTGTCTTCACTTGTTCAGGAATGCCTCCACTTCGCATAGAAATCACATCAGGGTCCTTCGATGAGAGCCACGCGCCGTCCGCCGTCTTCGCCAGGAAGAGCTGCAGCTTGTCAGCAGGGAACTGGTACATCTTCTCCGCCTTGATCGCCTTCTTCAGGTCTCCCACCGACTGACCCGCGTCAATGTCCACAGGAAACGCACTGCCCGCCGCACCAACGATCGCACAGAAGAGCTTCACCATCTTTCCTCAAGCCGGCAGATTCTGGAATGAGGAAGAAGGATGTAGAATTTCTGGCGTACTTAAGCGAACATGAAGGTGTGTGACATAGATTTTCAACCAATGATGAGACGCCACGTCGCGCTGGTCCGAACTACTAGTAAAATCTGCCGGCGTAATGTTCTATTGGTTTTATCAATGTGGTTTGAACGAGCGGTCTACCCTCATATCGAAAAGACGTGGCTCTCGCTCTCAAGTGGTCGAGAGGGGTCGTCGTTGAAATCGCTGCTGTCCCGAAAGAAGGTTTCAGGAATGTTCTCGGTGGTAAATTACGGTAAGGAAAAAAACTGCCGGCGTAATGTTCCATGACCCACTACTCGTGTCGCTCTAGCGCAGCGCCGTGAGGCAGTCGGCGATGCTGGAGAACTCGCGCACCGTGAGCCACCCGGCGCAGTTCTTGGTGATCTTCTTGCCGCTGCTCTTCTTGGGCTTCTTGCTCTTGCCAGTGTCGTCGTGGGTCTTGAGCTGCTGCGCGTTGGCCGCGATGAGCCACACGTGCTGCACGCCCAGCGCCTCGGCGGTGCGCAGCACGGCCTGATGGTTGTGCGAGTCCATGCACTGCTCCAGTACCAGCACGATGCGGCTCGTGCGGTGGCGCAGCACCGTCTCCGCCCGGCGCAGATGCTCAGGCGCCTCGCCCAGCTGCGTGTCGGCGGTCGTCAATGGCTCGGCCTGCTGCGCCTCGGAGCTGCTCGTGCTCATGGTGGTCAACTGAAGTGCCGGTTGGGTGGGGCTCAGCAACGCGTACACAAAAGCTACACAAATGTAGCCATCTACAAAACAGCCGCTGCTGCTGGAAGTGCACTCGACGCTGGCTGCTCCTAGGGCAGGACGACGGACACGAAGCGCGCCTTAGCTACGTCGCGGCACCCTGACCGTACTGCTCGTATCTGTCCGGCAGGCCTCGAGTAACAGCCAAAGCTATTCCTGACTATGGCCATCAGTAGTTAGCCCAGCGGCCGCATGAGGGACGACGTGTCGAGGCACGGCATGCCCCGCCTGGCGTCGCGCTCGCGCCGAACGAGCGTGGAGGATGAACCGGCCGCCACGCCCACCGCAGTGCGGGCCGCCGCGCGCGCGGCGCTGAAGGAGGAGGAGACTCGCCCAGCCGCGGTTGAAGCGCCGCCCCGCCAGCCTCCCAAGCTCAAGCCGAGGCCGCCGCCCTCTTCCGCGTCGCGAGGCTCCAGTCCCGCCGAGTCCAAGACGTTCCTCACAGCGCTGGTGCCCGCACGCCGGCGGTCCAGACGTCAGAGCGAGATGCTGCGGCCGCCGTCCCCGCTGGAGTCAATGGAGCCGTCGAGCGACTACACGGAAGGCGGCGCGTCGTCGGAGCCGCCCGTGCCGGCCAACTACATGGGGGCGGAGGCCATGCAGCAGTTCTGGGGCATCTTCCACCGACAAGAAACTGTTCACAACAACAAGGTCGTGCCCCCGACAACGGCAGCCGACTCTTCTCGGCTGAGCAACGAGGTTGGCGGCCGACCCAGATCTGCGCGCAGGACGTACCTGGCGGCGGTGCGCAGCCTTCACCTATGCCCAGAGCCACTGGGCATCGTTCGGCGTCGCGTCGTGGACAAGGCGGCGTCCTACGCCAGCGGAAGCACCGCGCAAGAGGTGAATCTGAGCAGTTATCGGATGGGCAACGACTACGCCGGGGCCTTTGGCGAGGGGTTTTCGCTGCTGCCAGGCGTTGAGAGTCTCAACCTCTCGCACAACCGGATTGGGGACGTCGTTGCTGCTAGACTGATCACCGCAGCGGCAGCCGCGGCCAGTGGACAGGGCACATCGGGACTTCAACAGCTGAATCTGTCGCACAATGCGTTAGCTGCGGCGTCCTCACGCGCGCTGTCGGAGTTGATGCGGCGCTCCCGGACGCTGACGTCGCTCAATCTGTCGCACACAGGCCTGCGCGACCGCGAGGTGCAGCAGCTCTGTGACTCGCTCACTTCCAACCAGACTGTGGTGCGTCTGCACCTGTCCGAGAACCGCTTCAGTACCCCGGGTATGCTCGCCATTGCGCGATTTCTGGAGGAAAACGCTCGCATTGAGGAGCTGTACCTGGCTTGGAACCAACTGCGCGGTGTCGGGGCTCTGAAAATCGTTGAAGCGCTCAAGTTCCATGCATCGCTGCGCGTGTGCGACTTGTCGTGGAATGCACTCGGCTCGTCGGGGCCTAGTTCGGCTTCCGGGAACGGCGGAGCAACTGGAACATCCGGGACGGTCTTGAAGCCTCGAGCCGTGGTGACAGCTCTATCCGATTCACTGGCAAACAACAAGGTGTTAGCTCATTTGGACTTGTCTAGCAACCGCCTAGACTTCGAAGACTGCACTCTATTGGCGAAGCAGCTTGAAAGCAACCAGACGCTTATCGGGCTGCACATGAGCGGGAACTGCGCGGTTATGGACTCGCGCGGGTTCCTCACCCCCAAAATCCAGTCTCACGATGAAGACGGTGGTGGGTCAAGGAGACTGCGCGACCAGCACAAGCTCTATTCCATTGCAGTCTTCGAAGAAGTGCACAGTGACGCGGGATCAGGCGTATTCCCGCCGCACCTCGTGCCCGTTGTGGACGCATCCTGCTGGTATTGCGGACTCTGGTCGGAGCATCGCTTCACATGGACCCCCGCAGCGGCTCAGGGCCCTTTCGCCGGTACCACCGACAGGTTTGAGATCACTCCGTCCATGGAGGTTCGGTTGCACCTGTCTGTTGATGACTGGAGAGGTGTGTCCATGGAGCGACGGGAAAACGAAGGCGAGGGGATATCGTTCAGCTCTCTGAGGGTAATCCCGCCTGGGGCCACCAACTATTTCTTTACAGTCGTTGACACCAACGCCGACCCGGCGAGTACGTCGAACGTAAGCTTCCACCACGTAAGCTCGCGACCCAGCCGCCCCGTGCATCGCCAGCGCCGCCTCGTATCAGGCAGGTCCGCCAGCAGTTGCAGTTTGGGCGACAATGAGGAGGCCGAGACAGCAGCGGCACAACAAGGCGACGTGTTCGGTAACCTCGAGCGCTTGAATGTGATTCGCCAAACGCAACGTGGAGGACGAGACCCGTGCAACACGCTGGTGCCGCGCAGCTCGGGCAAGAGCAGCGAAAGGCGAGGCAAATGGGATATCAACAAGAGCGTGTTTGCACGACGCAAGCGCGAGTCCGAGTGCCGCAACTTTGTCGACACGGACGGGTTCATCGCGAAAGCGTGTGCCGCGGATTGGCGGCAGTGCAAGATCGACCGGTTCGTGAAGGATCCGATCCGGCGGCGCGAGGTGGAACTCAGTGTTACGCGCTGGTATCGCACAGTATGCAATGCCTACCGACGCTATTGCGGCCACAATGTCCTGATGAACCTGGCGCCGTTGGGATCGCTCACGCCAGCAGCTGCGGTGCAGCTCCAGAATGACATAACGTGCGTGCCGTGGTCAGGTTACACCGAGTTTATTTCAGAAGCCCGTATCCTGGACGAGCAGTCTGAGTACTGCTCGCTGCCAGACCTGGAGAACGTGTTCGTGGCGGCTAATCTCGAGCTCACGCAGGAGGCGAAGGAGAAAGATAACCCAGACCGCAGCCTCACGCGGTTCGAGTTTCTCGAGTGCGTTATCCGCATCGCTATGAACAAGTACTTCCGAAGTACGTGGTTTGTTTGTACTCATTCTGCTGTATTGAGAATTGATTTGCCATGGCTAACCATTTCCAATTTTCTTTCTTACAGCCAACGTGTGCGATACGCCCGCCAAAGCTGTTGACAAGCTGATGCAGGAAAATATCCTGCCCGTGACTCCAGAAGACGCAAACGAGTTCCGGTCTCGCTTCCTGTACACGGAAGAGGTCAGCGACGTCTTCACGGAGCACATAACCCTGGTACGTCTGCTCTCTTTTGGGCATCTAGAATCAATCATTGGTATCATCTAACCGTTCGTATAACAGCTACAAGAGCTATATGACGCTCACATGGGCAAGTATTGCAAGCCTGGCGAGAAGAAGGGGATGCACCTCGTCGAGTTTCTCGCCCTCTTGTAAGCAACTTCTTCACCTTGCAGTCTTGGGTCGTATCAAATGCTAATATCCGTTGTTCTTTCGCCTCCACAGAGAAAAATATCAAATCTTTTCCGATTCGTTCCGTGTGCGCGACGTCAAGGACCCGTTCCTAGCGTGCAAGCTGGTGGTGCTGGACGAGATGACCACCATGGGCCACAAGAAGCTCTATCTCACCGATTTCATGGAGATCATGCTACGGGTAAGTGTCTTGCGATACCCACCTCGATCGCTCACGGTGGAGGAGGTTGTGCGCAGTCTGCAGAAGCTGCTGGTCAACCACTTCTACAAACACGACGCGCTGATGGGCCAGTTCTGCGAAGCCATTGACCAGGCGCTCGTGAAGGACCGTCTCGAGGCGTTTGCCAACGCAATCAACTCGCAGCGAAGTCACTCTCAGGTGGCCGCAGCGCCGCCGCCTCGGAATTGTAGTGGCGGAGGACGTTCTGCAGGCCCTGTGCAGCGTGCAACTATTGCAGAAGAGCGTGCCACAGACACGGAGGAGGACAGTGAACCGGAAGACGGTGGCGATAAATTTGAAAGTGGCGGCATTGGAGAAGCATCACAAGCTGGTGAGACGGTTGCTGAAGCGAATGGTGATAGCCCCGCAAGCGATGGAAGTGCAGATTTGGACAGCTAAGAAGGCACGCTCTACAACATAATGACCAACGCTCGACTACAAGCCCAACGCCAGCGCCATGGGGGACCTGTTTGAAGACCTGCGTTTTGTGATAACTCTCCAGTGGTTGCTGAACGTGAATGCGCGACGTCCTTGAGCATGACGTCGTTGGTCGTCGCACTGGGAAGTGGGGGCGAGAACAGATTGCGGTGAACAGGAAGAATACGCCGTTGATATTGGGCGCTGCAAAGAGCGTCACTACCTCCGTTAAGACAGAGCCCATGTTGGCGACGAGAGCTGTGTCGATGCAGAACTCCGTCTCATGATAGGGGTTGCTCTCCGCGGCCTGCTGCAGGCTTGGGGATAGAGGCAATACTCAACGCAAGGGCCGATCGACCGACAAGTTGGCAATCTTCATCTCGATCGACTTGCTCTTCTGCGACGGCATGACGTGGCTCTGCTTCAACGCAAAAGAGCACGACCTCAAGTACGAGTCGGGAACTCGCCCGCTCTTTGGTGCTGAAATGACCCAAAGGGCTGCGCGGCCTCTTTTTCAGGCTTCAAGCAGGTGATCTTCGTCACGGAGCTTTCCCTTCGAACAGAGAACCGGGAGCGTGGTTCGCGCATGGCGAATGACGGGCGCGGTCTTGGTCGGCATCTTTTTGGCCCTGGAGAGCCCTCGATAGGGGGAAGTTGAGAGGTCTGCGCCAAACGAACGCGGTGGCGTGATCTGCAGTCGATCGGCGGAAGAAGAGCTGGCTGCTGCTGGGCCCATAAAATCTGCTGCGTGCCGGTAGTAGTGGTTTCCTGCGCTTTTAATTAGTGGCAGCACGCAAAAATGCTGTTGAGGCTACAGTTCACTAGCAGGGCAGAAGAACCAGACGCGCACGTGTTACTTCAACCAGAGTGATGATCACTTCAACTAGAGTGATGATCACATTGTTGCCGTACTTAACTGAAGCAAATCACAAAGACCTTCCCAGCCTTAAGCGCGACTTCACACAACAAGGTGCTGCTGGTAAATCTGTGAGGTACGCCTGCCTCAACCCCCCCCCGCTGCACGACACCCTGAACTGCGGGCGAGTTGTAGTGCCATAGAGCAAAATGTACAAAGCTCCGCCGAGTACAAAGTTTGTGGCGCCTTCGCATTCCAAGAACTCGCAGGCAGATATTGCGGCTACGATGGTGTGGTTGCACTCAACCACGTGGCTGCAGCTTGCTACTGCAGCCTGTGCCTGCTTCCTTGAGGCATCAACGTAGGATTCCGAATCGGAATCCTATGAGAGAGGTAGTCCCGACGGGGGTTCGGCGGCGCCCCAGGCGTCTACAAGCCCGTGGCGCGCGAAAACGTCCAAACCTCGAGTGCATTCTCGGCGACGACTCCGAGCTGCGAGCCGCGGCGGTACAGGTCCACAATGAAGCTCAGCGCCACGAGGACGATCAGACCGCGGCAGCGCACGGCGTCTGTATCTACTGCAGGAAGTGCTTGCATGCCCCTGCGGCCGACGAGCGATGGCTCGGCGAGCGGCACGCAGTCGGCCGGTTGCCTCGCTGGCAGCAGCGTGGTGCTCAGCGGCGAGGAGGCCGGGGTGATGTCGGAGTTCGGTTCGGTGGACGACGGCGAGTCGGCGAGCAGCAGCTTCCCCAGCGGTGAGTTCTAGGGCGACTGTGGCGAAGTCCCCGGCGGCGAGATCGGCGACGGTGGGGCGGAGCAGGTTGGTGTTGGTGTGCGCTTGAGCCGGGCAAGTGAGCAGAGCAAGTCTGCGCGAGAAGCGCTGGCCGGGTTTGCTTGGCTAGCCTAATCGACAGCAACTTCAACGGAGTTTTGCAATGAAAATGAATCATTTAAAAAAATGAACTACTCTGGAGTAAAAAAAAAATGATGGACGCGTAAAAAACGTTACTCCGCCAAAAGTAGGTGGGACGTAGCTCCAAAACCAGGTAGCCTTAAAAAAATTGACCTATCGCACTTAGCCGAGCAAAGAACAGTACATGCACCTCTCCGATCCACTCTACTTCGCCTTCATTGCCACGGCTGTGAGGCGAACCATGAGCGGCAAGGGCGTGCAGAAGCAGCGGCAGAAGCGCAAGTCGCTGGCCGAGGACTATGGCGGCTCCGTGGGCGAGGACCTGCTCGAGTACATGGAGAGCGAGGAGGCCCCGGGCGGCGTGCAGCAGTCGGTGGACAGCGTGGGCGCCTCCAGCAACTTGTCGCGCCGCATCCAGAACCGCCTGCAGAAGCTGAACGAGGTGGCGCAGTCCGCGGGCGGGGACGGAGACGCCTCTGGCTACTACGACTTCTCCACGCTCGACATGAAGCCCGACCACGAGGCGCGGCCCGTGTGGGTCTGCCCCAACGGCCGCATCTTCCTCGAGGCCTTCTCGCCCATCTACAAGCAGGCCTACGACTTCCTCGTGGCCATCTCGGAGCCCGTGTCCCGCCCCGAGTTCCTGCACGAGTACAAGCTCACCCCGTACTCGCTCTACGCCGCCGTGTCCGTGGCCATCGAGACCGAGAGCATCCTCAAGGTGCTGGAGCGCCTCTCCAAGAACCGCCTGCCCGCGGGCATCGTGGCCTTCATCAAGGACTGCACGCTCAGCTACGGCAAGGCCAAGCTGGTGCTGCACCACAACGAGTTCTACGTCGAGAGCCTGTACCCCGAGGTGCTGCGGAAGCTGCTCGAGCACGAGCACATCCGCGCGGCTCGCGTGAAGGAGACGGCGGAGGATGTGGCCGCCAACGCGGCCGCTGCGCCCCCGGCGGCGCCTGGCGGGCCGAGAGCCGAGGACGCGAGTGAGTTCATTCAGAAGGACGTGTCAGCGGAGGACCAGGCGAATCTGCAGTACCAGAAGCTGCTGAACGAAGACTACAACGTGGCGGAGGAGCACCACCCTGGCAAACCGTCCGGCGACCAGCAGAAGACAGTGCGCACAGTGTCGTTCAAGATCCGAAAGACGATGGTGGAGCAGGTGAAGCGCGCGTGTCTGGATCTCGACTACCCGCTCATGGAGGAGTACGACTTCCGCAATGACAAGACAATCCCGGATCTGGAGATGGATCTTAAGCCCACGACGCGCATCCGAGAGTACCAGGAGAAGTCGCTAAGCAAGATGTTCGGTAATGGCCGTGCTCGATCGGGGATTATTGTGCTGCCCTGCGGTGCAGGCAAAACGCTGACGGGCGTCACGGCAGCTTCCACCATCAAGAAGTCGTGCTTGTGTCTGTGCACGTCTGCTGTGTCAGTGGAGCAGTGGACCGCGCAGTTCAAAATGTGGACGAACATCCCAGAGAAGAAGATTGCCCGCTTTACGTCGGTGGCCAAGGATTACATCGACCCCGACTCTGGTGTCATTGTGACAACCTACACAATGGTAGCGTTCGGTGGGCGCCGCGCTCGCGCCTCAGAGGAGGTCATGCAGCTCATTCAAGGTCGCGAGTGGGGGTGCATCCTTCTGGACGAGGTGCACGTCGTGCCTGCAAAGATGTTCCGCAAAGTCATCGGCTCGATTGCTTGCCACTGCAAGCTGGGTCTAACAGCGACGCTTGTGCGCGAGGACGACTTGATCGGCGACCTGAACTTCCTCATTGGTCCGAAGCTGTATGAAGCCAACTGGATGGATCTGACCCAGAGCGGATTCTTGGCCAATGTGTCGTGCGTGGAGGTGTGGTGCCCCATGACCGGCGAGTTCTACCGAGAATATCTCCGCGAGACCAAGAGCGCCCGTAAGCGCGCACTTCTGTACGTGGCGAACCCGAACAAGTTCACTGCCGCGGAGTTCCTCATCCAGTATCATGAGGAGCGAGGCGACAAGATTCTGCTCTTCTCGGACGACGTATTTGCCCTGCGGCTGTACGCGACCAAGCTGAACAAGGGTTACATCTACGGCGGCACAGGAGAGCGCGAGCGCATGCGCCTGCTGCAGTCCTTCCGGAGCTCACCTTTGGTGAACGTCATTTGCATCTCCAAGGTCGGCGACACATCTATCGACCTGCCGGAGGCCAACGTGATCATCCAAGTGTCTTCCCACTTCGGCTCGCGTCGACAGGAGGCGCAGCGCCTCGGACGTATTCTGCGCCCCAAGGCGAACGCCACGGGCGGCTTCAACGCCTTCTTCTACACGCTCATTTCGACGGACACGCACGAAATGTTCTACTCGAACAAACGCCAGCAGTACCTCGTGGACCAGGGCTACACGTTCAAGGTGGTGACGGACCTCTTCGAGCCCGGGTCGTTCCAGGGCGTGTTCACGCGGAAGGAGGACCAGCGCGCGCTGCTGAACGAGGTGCTCAGCGCCGACGTGGAGAGTGCCGCCAAGGACGAGAACGCCGCCATCCGCGACGACGAAGACCTGTCGCGTCTCGAGCTCTCGGGCCACGGCCGCAAGAAGAAGAAGCTGGCGTCGCTCGGGGCGCTCTCCGGCGCGGACGGCACCAAGTACATGGAGTACTCGGCCGGCCACGGCGCGAAGCAGCGCCACAACCTATTCCGCGACCGGTATCGCTAGGCGAGCCGCACAAGTGCAAGCGCGCGCTGCGTCCTGGCAACTTTCGCTGCAATAATAAATGGATCGTTCATACTTCGGCTTGTGTAGTCTAGTTGGTGCTGCTGCGGAGTGCAGCCATGCGAATGTAGCCATCTGCTGCCAGGAAGTCCCTGGCCAAATCGTTCAAATCGAGCCAATCGATAATTAACCGGTTGTCGGTGAGTCCGAAAAGGTTCGTAACTAGATTGCTGCGCTTACCTGGGAATTCCCGCGGAAGCTTCGTGGGAATTACCGTAACTATACAGCAAAAACTACTTCGTACTATGTACTACAGTACTACAAAAGATACAAAACATGCAACCTAGTTACCAAGTCGCAATGGTCGATGCGATTTGGCGTCCAATAAGTGGAGGCCGCCTTGGTGACCGCCACAACCCCCTCCACCCACCCATCCGTGGAGGAAGCCTTGGGATAATCGTTGTTGAGATCAGTGATTCTCAGATCGATCTGGCCGTGAAGACGCTCCGACCGCACACCCTCGCCTTCACGCATCTGTGTCAGCGCCATCTCCACCATGTTCTTGGAGGCATTCACGTCGCGTTCGACGGTCGCTCCACAACCGCCATTCCGCTTTAGACAGTGGTAGACCTTGCGCACTCCGACAGTTCGTACAACCTTGTCGCGACATCGGTGCTTAACCTGTTGGTTCTCCATTGGAGCAAGCGAGTAGCAGCGGTGGTGCATTTTGCTAGTGAGATACTCGTCCACGATCATGACGTCGACGCCGCGATAACCCATTAGCATGCGCTGGAGCTTCATGACTGGACCCGGGGTCTTCTTCTTGATGATGCCGCTGCTGTTGTTTAACTCCCAGTTACCAAACGCGATCAAAGTACGCGTGTCAGGCTTTCCTGCTAGTTCCCGACAAATAGCTCGCAGGTTCTTCTCAGCCAACATTTGCCGACGGAACCGCATGTCGCGAAAGGTTTTGGTCATGAAGAACGAAAAGAGTCTCTCCATCTTGGCCACAGTGTAGTCGAGATACTCCATCAACTTCGTAAGGGAAGCTGTCTTCTTTGTCGGTATGTCCTTGAACACCTTCTTGATTTCCGTGTTGTGACCGATTTTTAGTCGAATTTTACGATTACTACTCGAGTAACCAGAGTCACTGTAGAACTTCTTGGCTGGGTAGCTAAGAAAGTCGTCGCTGAAGGTTTGCGAGCGGACGTTGTACGTGCATGCTACGAACATGTCGGTGAACCCCGGATCCGCCCCCTTGATCTCGTCGTAGTTCTCAATCTTGCGCAGCGGGGGCTCGGCTTTCGGTTCTCATTTGGGTTTGTGAAGAAAGACACTTGCACCGATGCCATCCGTGCAGATTTGGCCATGGAACACCAGTCGAGTCCCTTTTTCGATGTCAGCAACTCAAAATAGCTTGCGCCACCAAATGTCGGCTACCCCAGACCAGTTCTCCTTCTTAATACTGTCTCCGAGCGAGATACTTCCACCACCCTCCGTGTACACGATAGTGTCGAGATCCAGCCTGTCCCGACTTCTCCTCAACAAGTCCCACAGCCCCGTAGATGTCATGCTGAAGTAAGAGCTCCGGAAACCCTGCTTGGTCGGGATGATGCTGTACACACGTTCCTGGCGGATCTTCGGGTTATCCTTGTTGGTCTCGTTGAACTCCTCCACAGCCTTCAGGTACTTGTGAAATAATCGCAACACGTCCGTGGACTTCCAGTCCACTTTCTGGTTCTGATTTCTTGGTATATCTTCTCGCAGAGCGCCCACGATGTCATTCACGGCGTCACACGATTGGCACTCGGTGGGGGCCGGTTTTTTCTGGCGCTTCTTGGTTCGGCAGCTTTTGCAATGCCGACGGTTGCACGCCTCGTCCAGCACCCAAGACGTTATCAGGAATGCGTCAGCACGTACTTCACCCTCACATACTGCCGGAGGCGCCGCGCTAGGTTCTTCCACATAGAGGTCTCGGTGTTCTTCGCTATCTGCGTAGCCGCCTGCTCGAACCACCCCAAGCAAATGTACTTGCAATCAGGCGGTCGAGCTCCTCCGCGATGCATCAGGTACTCATCTGCTGCACGCTCAAAGTCGACCCATTTCCACTCCTCCAACGCAAGGTCCGGCTGGACCTTCTTTTCTTTTGACTTCTGAAACACGGCCTTGAACGTCTTCTTAGGCCTGGACTTTTTCGACACGGTAGCCATGCACCTACGAAAAAACTTATCGTCCATAGGAGGGAGAACCCCACCACCCGTGGGGTTCTCAATCGTGTGCATCACGACGAAGTTGGCAAGGAGCCAGCCTTCGGCAGCAGCGTGGTTCATCGTCATGATCACGTCGTTGTGGTATCGGAAAATGGAGATTACCGGAGCGATTGCCCGTCGCCCAAGAACCAAGGTACAATAATCAAGGAGCAGTCAAGCGCGAGATGGAAGTGGCTGCTTTGGTTAAGCTGGCGACATTATCCTCGTTGGAGTGACAGGTAGTGGCCGGAGCCTCGTCGGGTCCTAATACAACCCCGAACGAGGCTTCATGGTACCCACTTTTAGGTACAGATGCATTTAGTTACGTACTTCGGCCGCACTTATTAGTGTAGCCGCGGTCGTCATTTGATGTGTCCGGAATCGCCTTATTGCGATCGTTCACACTAGATATGTGTATAGGGACATAGGACTCATCATAGGATGGCCAGAACGAGGCCCCCAGGGCCTCAGAAAACTCAGTAATAAAAAGACAGTCTTCCCCTAAAGCCAACAAGGGTCAAGTCCGACTTCGGTAAGTGTAGCTAGCTTGTTGTAGTGCCTGGACACGCTCGGCTGCGTGTGGATGCCTGTCGGGGAGCTTATCGTGCATTGGCCGAGAGTTTACTTGGCAGCGCCAAGAGTTGGCGTGACCGGAGAGGCAGGAACGGTATTAGAGTATCGTTCAGTATATATTTGTGGGATTAGAGTGTCCCTGAGTGTATTAGTCTACCTACCGAGGTTTTACCTTGGTCCCCCTGTATAAGGCCTAACACGCCGGTACCCTTCCTTTCTGAGGGACTGCAGTGGGGTTGCGCGAAAGCGCTACATAGTATCCTAGCCTAAGCTCGTGGCTAGTGGTACAGGTTTTTTTGGGTTGACCGAAGACAATCTATGGTGCACAGAAGCGCTTGCAACCGACCCGGTGTAAGGGATCGTTCCTGGTCTTCAGGTTTTGATCCAATAAGCGCTTACCTTTGCGGGTTAGCGTGTTGTTGGTGTCTTTAATACCTTTTGGTAGAGGAGAATTTTAGTGGAATTACCACACCACATCGTCCCAGTGGAGAGCTTGCGCCTCCGGGGTGCAGAAACTCTTGAGCGTCACCTTCCGCGCCACAATGTCAACGGTTTTCGCGTCCGCCTTGCGTTTCGCTACGTCGGGCCTGCGTCGCTTCGGAGGTCCAGCTCCACCCGCGTCGTGGGCGTCCGGAGGAGGAGCTCTCTTCTTAGAAGACTTTCTTCGTGCCTTGGACCTGTTAGGGACCTCAGCACCAGGGGGACGTGCTCTCTTCTTCTTATCGATGGCATTCTGCGAGACTTGCTTGCTGTGAGTGAAGAACGAGAATCACAGGAACGACGTTCCAGTCCTGGCGCCTCCATGCTTACAGCGTCTGCAGCTGCCACTTGCAGCCATGGTGCCGGCCACGGTGGGTTGGTCGGAACAATAATAGAATGGTGATGTTGCGGAACTCTCAAAAGCTGATGTGACACGAAGGTTGTGCCAGGTTACGCTTACGGTCACGCAATTAAAAAAAAAATATTAAAAAAAGGTTCGTAATAATGCGCTGTTGTTGCCCTTGGCTGTGCGTGTCAATAGGACCTCCGCGACGTCGCCAGCGGCTGCGGCGCGTCGTGGGTGGCGTCCTCATGGAGCGCGAGCGCCCGCACCCCCGGCTGCAGCGCTAACCTGCTCGTTATTCCTGCTCTGGCCAGCCGCATGTCGGACATCAAGACTTCTCCCCCTCCAGCGGCTTCCTTGGCCGCCGCGCTCCCGGGCTCGGAGCGGCCCGACTACCGGGGCAAGTGCCTCTACAAGACGGGCAAGTGCGTGAATGAGCGCGCGCTCAAGACGTCGGGCGCGGCCCACAACCTCTGCGACGAGCACCGCAACCGTCAGAACCAGCACCAGCGCAAACTCGACGCCAAGAACCGACTGCACAAGCGAGAGCGACGCGCCTCCGGCGGGGCCGCCAAGACGCCCAAGAACGAGCGCTTCGCGCCGTACCCGGTCGCGTCGACAGCTCAGCGTCACGCGCTGCCCAGTTCAGTCGACACGTCCGACGACGACCACGTTGCTTCAGCCACTGTAGTGTCCGCCACCCCATCAGGGGCAGCAGCAGCAGCAGCAACTTCGGCCGCAGAAAGAGCGACGGCCACGACGCAGACGACTGTGCTGGCCACGACTAGCAGCGGCGTCATGTTCCTGCCGAATGGGCCGCAGCCGCCGCAGGTGTCGTACCCCTTCGTGATGCAGGACTTTGACGGCATTGTCGTGCCGCTGCCCTCCTATCTCGAAGGCCAAGAGCGCGTCGAGTTCCGCTCGCGCATCTACCGGAAGGTGTTGGACTTCATCTCGGAAGAATGCATCCTGCGATTCGGCGCCAGGGCCGGCGGGTCTGCATCGGTCGACGCAGCCACCGCCACCACCGTTGCTACAGTCGTCCCGAGCGCCGCAACGCACGCAACCATCCAAGCCGAACCGCAGTCGAGCCAAGAAGGCGCTGTAGTCGCGTCGCTAGGCGCGAGTCCCGAAGACGATGACGGCTTGGACACCCAAACAGAATCCGAGGATGTCGCTGACGAATCAAGGTCCACGGGTGGCATCGCTTCCAAGAAGGTGCATTAACTTGTAGCGCAAGCCTACAAGTTTGTCTTTGGGCGTGTTAATTAAAGAGGAGAAGGGGTGGAATCGTCTCTGAGTGTATTAGCTGAATCCTTCCCTGTCTCGCCGAGCTGAGCCAAGTCGAAGTGGTTGCAAAATCTACTGTATTCTTGCTACACATGCTTCCTGCATCTACGTGTATCTGTACATGTAGACGGCGTCTTGGGTCTCCTTTCAGGCACCGAGGTGGCCGTCGAGGGTGATGGAGTGGCCTGAAGCGCAGAACTGTTGCACCAAGTAAAGTGGTGGCGGATCTGCTCCACGTAGGACTCGACTGCCGAATTCTCTCATAAAGATGGAGCACGTTCGGCTGCCCAGAGGTCTAACAAAGCTCGTAGCTCATAAAATAATCGGGTTCTTTGACGCTCTAGGAGTAACTACACAAAAAGGGAAAATGCCAGGGAGTCTCCGCTGCCTGGGCTTGGACCTAGATCTCGACTTCGCGCTTGCCTTTTCGCACCTGGCTGTCATCGAGGCCATCCAGGCTGCTGAAGGAGTACTTCTCGTCGTTGTACGACATTTCGGAGTAGCAATCGCTCTCGCCGCGAGCGCGAATTTGCTCGGCGTACTCCGAGTCGGTGACCGAGTCGGCGATAGAGTCGGCTATCGAAGAGCGGCTGTCCAGGTCCGTCCGCCGCTGCGGCATTCGGCCGATCCCCTGCGATGACTGGAACGAGTACTTGCCGCTGTCCAAGTCGCTGATGGTGTCGCTGAAGCTAACGCCGCTCATGCCGCCCATCGTGCTGCGGTCGGCGTCGTCGTACTGCATCTCCTGCTTCATGCGCAGGTACTCGCCAAACACATTCGGCGTGGAGGTGCAGCGCAAGGAGACGTCTTGCTGCACGTACTCGTTCACATTCGAGAAGCCTCCAATTCCTCCGACGACAGGGGCCGCCTGGGCGCTGCGCCCGCCGCTCTTGTGCGATCCGCGAGAGTTGTGCGAGCTGGCACCGAGAACTGCTGGCGAGTGAGTTGAGTCTGTGAGCATGCCGTCGAAGCTGCGCGGAGACTCGTCCGTGGGCACGCGCGACATCGTGTCCATCGGGTCACCGCGCGACCCCTTGCGGCGCGCACCGTAGCTCCCTCCGTAGCCTGCGTTCATGTTGGGGCCTGCTGCATAGTTGACTTTGCTGGTGTCCAAGAGGTTGTTGTACGGGCCAGGGTAGGACCCGTTATCGGGCTTCGACAGGCCACGTGGACGCTTGTCCGACGGGGCGCGATTGCGCCCAAAGTTGCCAGCACCCGCGGCCGCGATTTCCTCCTCCCGACGCCGCCGCATCTTGCGCCTCCGAGCGCAGAGGATGATGAGGATGACGAAGATTAGAACTGCGCCCAGGCCGATGGCTCCGTACGTGATGAGGCTGGAGCTCAGTCCGCCGATGGTACCGGAGCTGGAGGATTCTGTGCTGGTGTCGGACGACGACGCTGAGGCGGTCGTCGAAGAACCATCCGATGTGCCGGCCGTGGAAGGGGTCGAGGAAGCTGAGGACGACGACGTCGTGGAGGTCGCGGCTGAGCTGGTGGACGTCGTGGTGCTCCACGAGTCGGCTGTGGCATTGGGGGAAACATTGGCGGGTGTGTGAGATACGAGAGCAATGGAATCGTCTTCAGTTGGAGGACCTGAAAGCACGTACAGCAGTCGTAGCGGACGCCTGTGAAGGGGCAGGTGTTGGTCGAGTTGTCCTTCTCCCAGCACGTGTAGGTGCTGTCCAGCGCGTAGATGCAGGGCGGGCACTCGCCCGTGGTGGTGTCGCACGCGGTGCTGCCATCCTTGAGGCAGGACGTGACGGAGCTGCAGAAGTCGCTCGTGTCGGACGCCTCCGCGACGGCCGCCGCCACTGCTAGGGCTCGTTGCAGCGCTCGTCGTCCTGCGGGCATTGCTCCTCTTCTTTTCTTATGCTGCCGCCCCAAGCCGCCCCCCACCGGCAGAGACCTCGGGCCAGATCAGCGCTCGTCGTCGTGACGGCACTCTGCTGACCAGCCCCATTCCCATATGCCCGGGCAAAAACACGGCGACGGCTTTGTGTATCACTTTGATTTTGGATGTGTACAAACCTGTACATGTACACGCCCAGACAAAAACCAAAAACCGCCGTTCAACATGTACGCCAACAAGTTCTTTGGCCGCAATCTGTCGTCATAGGGTACAGACAGACTCTGCGGAGAATTGGTGGCTCGCTCTACATGCCGACGCACCCCATTATTTAGTCGCCTCGAGACTCACAGGTCAAATGCAGAATGTGCCTTAACAAAAGACGTCGGCCATCGAAGCCGTTGCTGCACATTAAGCAAAAATAACGAAGGGCGAGTAGAGACCTCAACACGCCTCAAGTACTCAGTACCTTTGTAAGTTGCCATTGCCCGCGATGGCTCCACTGCAATCTTGGATGCTCCAGCTTTGTGCCAAGCCCCATGCTGTCTGAGCTCCACCAACTTGGCACCAAGTCCACACATGCATACTTCGTCTGCCTCGCACGTTGTCGATAACGAGTTGCATATGGTAGCTTGGCTGTGGGGCTCTTGGAACGAGGACGGGCGACTGTAGCGATTCGTCATGTGCGCATGTTCAAGAACGGGTAAGGCGGTCCATCCATAGATCTAGAAATTAGATCGTGCAGTTTGGAGGTTCTAATTTTAGGCAGCCCACTTCTGACCAGGCGTGGATTCATTACCGGATGCAACACCTTACATCTGGTCGCCGCGGGATGTAGAGACCGAGCGCCGCGCAGAGCACGTTGAAGCGGCTTCAAGCTGACACGTGAACTCCACGGTGAAGGCGAATTGCTTCTCCTCAGCCATCCTGACAGGACGTGATTCCTTCGCCTGGATGCTGGTCTGCAGCGCACGAAATTCCAGCCACCCTCGTTCGCTGCGGCGGACGCAGCGACAGCGACAGCCATCGGCCTGCGCCGGCAGCCCCTCGTCGCGTAAGCTGAAGATACCTACAGTACCTACTACTTGCACTTCTGTTACTCACGTCGTCACGGCCGAGTGTCCGTAGAAGCGCGAGTCTCATTTGCGCCGCCACGCGCGACTCGCTCGTTACCAATGCTCAAGTCGATGTCGGAACTCGTGACTTGGCGGCGATCTCCGCGACGTGCGTCTGGGTGAGCCGCACTCGGTCGAGCATTCGCGTTGCACCCCTTAGTGTATAGACTACAGACGTCAGGCGCTCTCTCGCCCCACTGTCTCCATGTCCTGCGCCTTTGCCTGTCGATCCGTGGGCCTGAGAACTGGTGTGGTTGTTACTTGGCCCAAGCTGGATCCCAAGTCACGCAAACACTTGAAGCTCGCCCTTGGAGGCGAATGCCCGACGAATGAAAGCGCCATCCTCGCAATGCTGCGCGGAGCATTCGTCCTCGTCCGACGAGCTGTCACAGACACAGCACGCATGCGTGACGACTCGCAAGCTTCCACCACCAGCCGGGGCAATCTTGATCTTGATCGCTAGCTATTATGGCAATCGCTTCAAAGGATGGCTTCAGTGCTGGTACATTCATCGTCGCTTGCGTTGCACACTGCAACGGCACAGTCGCAGCCCTCAGATCCCAATAAGAACGCCAACTCCGGATACTCGTTGCTGTCCGCCGGTGGCAACTCAACGCCTGCAGCCTCCTCGTAGTCATCGTCATCAAACCACTGCGGCACCGCCGCCTCAGCCCGTAAAGTAGTCACCCTTTGATCGCTCCCCCTATTGCTCTCGTCACGCGGTTGCTCCAGTGCGCTGGCATCATCGTCGCTATCCTCTTCATCAAACCACTGCGGCACGTCAGGCCTTACGACTGCACTGTTTGGTTGATTCAGTGATAGCGCGTTAGCCTGGCCTTCCAGCGCAACCATACCCGATTCGTCAAGATCCATCCCAGATAAAATGGTTGCAACAGCTCTTTCTGGAAAATTGCCTTCACCGGCACGATCGCTGTTCGCACATCCGCTAGAACCGCTGTCATGGTCTCTGGGCGAGCATGCTTGCCTGGATTTCTTGTATCCGCCATACAATTCACTGAGATCGTTAGCCTGCAGCAGTGTGGCCAGCGGCGGCCCCACTACTTCAGCAACGTTGGAGTGAGAGACTAGCTGGTGTATTGCGTCGAAACAGGCTGAAAGCAGACTTGGACGCATACTTTGGGTTCTAGTAACCATGCAGGGAGTAAGAAGCAACTTGAAGACGCTGACCAAGGCGTCACACTCGCTCTCCTTGACATCGCTCACCATTTTTGATAGCAACTGCAAACTTGTTTCCACCGAGCGCATTTTGATCGCCTCTGGACACGTGCCTCTGTCCATTTCGGGGGAACACGTCGGGCTGAAATTGGCGAGATGAACGACACTTGCAACTGCCACCGGGCCGAGAATCCGCGCCAATTCCTCGATATCCTTCCTTCTAGTCTCAAAGTAGTCGAATCCAGCCTTGATCACCAGAAGGCACATGTCCAACATACGAATCACTCCAACCGAGACGTTAGCTTTGCAAGTCGAGGGGCCCGGTTGATGATCGTTCAAAAGCTAGATCGCCACGCCGCAGCAATCGAAGCACGCTGGGAAATATTCATCGAGCCACGCTGACACATCTAATTCACCCGATTCGTCCAGGAAATGGCGATCTGTCAAACTCTCCAGCAATCGCAGTTGCAGAACCATACGCGCGGTGAATTGGCAGGTCGGGCCTTCATGAATAAACGTGCTGATGAGCGATGATACTTGATCAATACAACATTCCTTCATGTCGACAGGCAGATGCGCGTACGCAAAGGCAACCACGTCTAGAATCTCGTCAGCTTGCGTCAAAGTCACCTTCTCACCCATGCTCGTACACGTCAGTTGTGCTTTTAGCAGCAGCAACTCCAGCGCCAATCCAGCGGCTCCCTCGCTCCAGCGGTTGCCTTTATTTTGGTTCTTACAGTGGCACCTCCCTAAATGAACCCCTCTAACTGACTATGTGTTCCCTATCTGGTTAGGATTCCTCGACTGCAAACGGGATTATATGGATTTCACTATAGGTGTTCTATAACTGATCAAAAACCTCTTTATTCTCTAAATGGTCGCCATTGTTGGCGCCTCAACCCTCTAAATGGACTCCGTAGTAATATTGTGAAAACCGATTAGTTTGTCCTGCTGAATTAGCCGGTTAAACATCGCTCAATGCGGATTTGAAGACTAATAAATCGGGGATGTATCAATTATAATCGGAGTATAAATCGCTCATCGGTCTCGTAATTATGTGCAGTCTAGCAATTTCGATCAACATGCATGTACCTCGGCCCGAGACTCGCCAAGTGCAGCGACAACACGGCGCTTAAACGCGTCGCTTGCATATCTCAGGTACATGTATTATAGCTTGCGGCTTTTCCTGCTTAGTTCTGATATTAGTATTGTAGCCTTGACTACCTAGCTACTGATAAATAAGCTAGCCACAGTATTTTACAATCAGCGCAGCGAACATATATTTTTTTACGAAAAACTAAAATATTATGATTTCGAGACAACTATAGGGGCTATGCAGTAGATACTGTAGTGTATTCCAGGTTTCACCTTGGTATCACCGCAGTCATCGACCCGATAGCGTGTCGCTGCTAGCGACGGTGAACCCACGTGAGCCACAGGTAATGGGTTCACCACTTCATGGCCAGTCAGACTTCACAGTGTCTGTACCTGGTATGCGGTACGATTCTACATACTAGGAACTTGTATGGCCAACTGCATACTTCTCTTCGTGTCCAGAGGCCGTTGGACACGGACCCAGTTCACTTTGAGATCTATCTCACTCTTGTATTTGCCTCGAAAGGCATACACACTAGATCAATACACTAGGCTCAACTTCCTAGCGGATTGCCATCCGCCCTGCCGTGTGTTGGTTCTTCCCTGATGTGATGTCTTCCCCGGGATTCACTACAGATACCAAGCAAAAGATAAAACTGCAGACATGGTAGCAGGATATCGGTATTGAAACTCACGTACAACCTGAGGGGATGCGATTCTGCTACCTCACTGTATTGAAACTCACGTACAACCTGAGGGGATGCGATTCTGCTAATACCAATGAGAAGAAGGAGTAGGAACAGACAATACCGCGCCTACCGTTATTGGTTAAGTTCTGTTTGTGTGAAGACAAAACAAAACAAGAGTACGAAAATGCTGGAGGGGTACCAGGTAAGGAAAGCCCTTGTATTGTGCACCTAACATATAAAAATGTAGCCATTAGAAATGTAGCCATTTCTTTATCTGATCAATTCTTTAACTGAAACAGCGTATTAGGGCCATTCCTAACGAGATCACCGGGGCATGATCTCGGCTGTGGTTTGGGGTGGAAGGAAGCATGATCTCAAAGCCGTTCCTAACGAGATCGTGATCCATGTCCAAATACATAACGAAAGGCTCGAGTTCGCGTTGAGGGCGGCCGCCATTATGAGCTTCACGAGCTGTGTTCGTTTGCATTTGCGATCGAGCGCTGCTTTGCACTTCGACAATGCATTTGATGCAAGCTGCTAAGACGCTGCACTGCGAACAACCCTGGCCGCCCAGCAGCAGAAGCAGGACCAGCAGCAGCAGCGCTTGCGCGTCTTCGAGCCGTCCGAGCCGGGCTCTCCGACTGCGCGCACACCTCGTCGGGCTCCGCGTGGACATCACGCACCGCCTGACGCGCACCATGGGAGTGTCGTGGGCATCGATACGCGGGTGCCAGGCTCGCTCACGGTGACGGCCAAAGTGCGCGCGTTGGCGCTCGACTCGGAGCACGGCAGCGGCGAGCTACGCGGACTTGAACAGCAGGAACAGCAGCAATGCACCCCGATAATCTCCGTGGACTTGACGTGTTCGGGCATCTAGAGAGCCTTCGCCTGCACGAGTGCACGCACCGGTCGGCGCGTCACCTGTAGTTACCGCGACGGACGGCGTCTGCCTCAGAACCACGTCACTTTCCGTGTCTTCGACCATCAAATAGCACAGCTTGCATAGCGCAGCATGTCGTGCTGCACGTGGTGCAAGGCAGAGTTGACCCGTCGAAGCGATAAGCCACTTCCTGGCGGTCGATCGCGTACTCGTCGTTGGAGACGACATGGCTCAAGACTTCATGCTGAAGTACACGCCCGCCCGTCCGCCCCACTTGCGCTTGGTAGTCCGAGATGCTGATCTTGCTGGCGTCCTTCACCAGCATGCTGTAGTGCAGCTTGGCGGGCGCCAGCTTCAGATCCGACGAGATGTTCTTGTTCTTGATCTTGAAGCTCTTCCACGCGCTTGCCCTTGAACCGTGGTCACCGAGGAGAACACAAATCGCCCAACCGCACCGCAGCCGATTGTCGTGGACAACGAGTCGGCAATGGTGTCGTGTTCGTCCATACGGAGGTACAGCTTCATCACGTCGCCGCAGGCAGGGGCGTACACAGAGCCGTGCCCACATCCTTGGCGTTCTTGTCCACGGCGCTCACCTTGCGCGGGTCGTCGTAATAGTCGACCAGGCCCTCGCAGAACACGGGCATCTGCGAGCAGTGCTGGCCCAGCCGAGATGGCACTCGGGGAGTCTTGAGAGTCGATCGGACAGCGTTGGGGGTCGTCTATCGACGATTTCCGTAGCGGGGGTCGCTTGGGCTGCAACCCAGGGCACCGCGGCGGCTCGGTCCGTCGCGGGGTTGGATGACTGGGGGTCCCATAGGGCTGTTTCGTGCAGTGCTCGAAAGTGCACGAAAGTACTTTCGTGCAAATTCATCAGCCCTTTATTACGGGGATAGCACATTGAGACATCAATGGCAGTTCTCTACCAAGTACGATTAAAACTCTTGAAATTACAGACATAACCCTATCGAAACTGGTTACAGTGGGAGCTGGGCTCCACCACGGAAGTCGCTCCGCTGGTTACATTTTTTGGGTCTATTACCGAATTGAACTGGGCTTAGACCGTAATTTAAATAGTCCTATTTGTGATATATGTGCACAGAGACCGACTAGTCTATTAACTTATCTGTTGCAAGATGTCTGGTATAATCTAAGCCTGGTTAGCAACGCCGGTGCCTTGTATCGGTCCGGTGGTTGTACGGGGCTTGGTTGTCTTGCTAATTTGCGTAGGCAAAACAGAAGACGGGTGCCTTGAATTTTGGAGTCTACTCGCCTGCATTCCCGCTTTGCGAGTGCCCGTAGCTGCCGTAGCCCTGGTTTCCAGAACTCGTGCACGCTGCCAGCTATGGTCACCACTTCATGCTGGTAGACTGCTCGGTTTCGTTGTATCGACAGGTGGGTGACACAAATGCTGCTCAAGATGCGCCATATGCGCTTCCACTCGTTGGTGAATGCGTCGACGTCGTCTGGGTGTTCCTGTGCGAGCCATTGCTTCGTTTTCTTCGATAGGGTTGGAGCTTCTCGCTTAGCGCAGTGCACCAGGAAAGCTGGAATATTATCCTGAGCCCAACGTACTCCTGTCCAGTGACAAATTAGCTTTTGCCAGCAAACTTGAGCACAAGGACATTCCCAAAAAAGGTGCTCCATCGTTTCCTTCTGACCTTGGCAATCTAGCAGCTTGCGGCAACTATTGTCGCGTGCTCGATCGCTGTGGTACAGGTTCAGTTGCCTGACGGCGATCCGATAACTCACCCAAACCTGATACTCCGTGAGTTCGCCGCGGTGATCCCACACTTCCTTAGGAGTCTGTAGCAGGGCTGCTGCTTGCCACTCACTTGCTTGTGCTGCGTGATTGAGCGATGACAGGATGGTTGTTAACGTCAATCCTTCTCCTTTATATCTGCGAAATGGTTGCTTCTTGAGAGCAAGAGGACATAGAGTCTGATACACACCATGGGAATCCGTAGAGATACGGGTGCGCATAGAAGACCAGTCCTCCCCCATCTTGGCGCTGCTGTAACCGCATACAATCTGCCGTAAACCGAGAGTTCTCGTCCTGACTTTCAGCGACTTTCCAGTGAATGCCGTTGCTCCGTTGCTCCAAGGCAATGCTTCCCCCTCGCTCTGAGCCGCCCTCACCTTTCGGTGTGCCTCGAGCGTGACCGTCAGACACATATTCCCATTCGTAGTCATGCTGCAACTTGAGTGGGTGCCGAGGCCGTAACACTTTCGATATTCTTAGACTGCAGCCGATTCCAATCTGTGGAGCACTCATCAAGATGGCTACGCCCCACCGTCGCAGTTTGGCTCGTTGATGCCTGCTGTCGCCTGCTACTGGGATGATCATCGTGTAGGTCTTCACTCCGATGCGCTGTATTTGCAGTGCTTCAATAGTACACGGCTGTATCCTATCGTACGGACGGGTGGTCAGCATATTGCCGTCCTCGTCGCATATCCAGGGGTTGTCGTACCAACAGTACGTGAGCCAAAACCATTCTTCCTCTGGGGTCATCCACCTGGGGGGACTGGGTAGTTGTATCGGTAGAACCAACACCCATTCCTCAGGAGTTGTCCAGCTGATCGCCTCCGCTGCGATGTCCCGCAAATCGTGTCGGTATTGTGTTGCCGCGGCTTCTGGTACGATATGGCGGGGTTGTAACCAGGTTCCGATGTTTAGCTGCAAAAGATTTCCTGGTGTCTGACGACAAGCAGCTAATTGACGCACCGGTTGTTGAACCGGCGATACTCCGGCCGTCCACTCGTGCGTCGCGCCCCGAAAAGCCCACGCCCTCCATGCTGCAAAGTATATATCTTTTCACTGGATAAGCCACTGGATGGTGTGCTTCACTTGTTGCGTCTTGCATGCGATCAGAATGGATGCGAGGCCTACTCCGCCTGCTTTCTTCGGCGTGTACAGCAGTCCTGGGTTGATTTTGTGGCGATTTGCTTTGGTTCTGGTGGATTGCTGCCACAGAAATTGTTTTTGCAAGTTCCGTAGTTGTTTTTCCGCCCAATTCGGTATCTCAAATACTCTGTGTACACAAATTAGTAAATTTGGATCTTGATCTAGATCCAGACCAGAAAAATATGTATTTCCAATAGGGAAGACACTATAACTTTCTCTTCATCTTAGTAACGAGCACATATTTTGTTACGTAGTTGCAAACTTGCTACATCATCTTGCGTTCTAACAAGGCGGACACTCGCCCGTTGGCTCTCGTCTGCGGACTTAGCGACGGCACTTCCGGGAGCCCGCCCCTCTCTCGCTTCGCTCGGGGAGCGCCGCTTCGCGGCCTGCCCCACCCCCTCGTGCCTTACGCTAAGCCCTGCTGCAGGCACGTAGGTGTAACCCCATGGTGGGGGTACACGGTTACGACACCAGAGTCGTACCCACGACAGATCTTTAGGAGATTCTAGAAGCTTCGTAGGGGCGACCGCCCAGGAGGGCACGTAGAGAGAGAGCTCACTTCTCGATTGGTAAAGCCACCGACGAGGCCTCCGGCGGGGGGCCGAAACGCGTCTGGCACGCGTTCAATAGAGAGGTCGTACATGCATGCTCCAAGTACTTCCTACACCCTCGACTCTGCCAGGCGCGGTGTCTAGAAAGAAAAATATCGAGTTGCAGCGCTCGCGTTCGCTCGCTCGCACAGACACGCCCCCGCCAACCGATGCATTCACCGATCATCAACACCCGCCGGCCTAACCGGCGGGTGTTGATGATCGGTGAATGCATCGAGTGAGCCTCGCGCTCGCGTCCGCTCGCCCTCGTCTGTATTGAGCAGTTTGTAGGTACATGTATTTGCAACATCATGGATGTCATGCGTGTATTATACTCGTTACCCAGTTGGTAGTCTGGATCAAAAGTATTTTTAGTCCAAACAAAATATATAATTAGTGTGGCTTTGTGTTGAGTATTTTTTGGATCAGCCTATTTGATCCGAAACTATCGGTAAATTACGCCGATATATTTGGATCCCTGATCCAGTTCAATTCGGTATTAGACCCCATATGGATTCTACCGCTCCGCTCAGTTTCGTTGTGTAGTGAGGCGACCTACGTCGTCAAAGCATGGCAGATGTGATCCAACCACAAGTTCAAAGAAAAAGTACGCTCTGATCAAATCTAAGACCTGTTCTGCACAAGACCCATTTAAAAATCTTCCGCTCCAGCGATTACACAGCAGCCCCCCACCAGAGAAACCTCTGCCCTATCGCATCCAGAGCCCCAGCAGAGAATAGTTCCTCAATGAGTCGCCCACAAGAAGAGGACGGAGATGTCCTGGTGGCTGCGTTCGAGGCTGCAGCCATCCGTCTGAGCGGCATGGAGGTGTGCGCGCGCGATGCTACATGTACTGCGCGTGTGTGGGCGACTCATTGAGGAACTATTGGGGCAACCCACCCACCCTACGCCAGCAAATTTGGGTTTTACAGGTTTTATTTTTGCCTATAATGTAGAGTTACAGTGCAAATATTAGGACAAATAGTCCAATGGTTGGCCTAGGAGAATTTTTTTAATGATTTTGAGACCAAACGAGCCAATCAGAAGCTTATATTGTCGGTTTTTGTGAAAAATAGAAAACCCACCTACTTTCACTCAATCCCCCAGATGGATTCAATCACCCGCCCAACTTTGTCGAAAAAGGTGGGTTTTTAACAACACTGCTACTGAGCTCCCCGTTTCCGTGCATTTTGCCCTGACAGGCGAATTTACGTAGTTACAGTTAAGTACGTCTAATTTATAGTTATGTTTTATTGTGTTTTGCAATGATTTTGGCAATATGAGGCGAGATTTGCTGTATTTGTAGCGACCACCTGCTAGATTTACGATAAATCGAGGTGCATAAATGGGTGGAGGCCTATAATTACGCTAAAAGTGCCACAATTGCACTTTTGAAAATGCAATTGTGGCTGTGCAGCTGCAATTCTGTCCGTTTTTATCCACAAGCACCTACACACACGGCAATTATGCATAAGAGGGTGGATGTGCTGGGGATCATGGACGGTGTTGTACTGGGCCAATGCATGGCTGCTGACAGGCCCTTCCAAGTCGAAATATATATGAGGTGGATTTATGCATAATTTTAGCAGGTCGTGTATCTTCTTTCACACATATTTAGGAGCACGATTTGCCATATTTAGCGTCTAAAATGGTTGGCAAAATAACTGCAAAGCACAATAGGGGAAATCCTGTTTCGGGATTTTTTAAATAATTCTGTTTCGGGGCCGTAAAGCCTAGTTCAAGTGCTGGCACATGTGCTAAGCTCCAATTGCTGAGGCATTTGATTGGCTAACAAAAACCGGTACAATGTACCGGTACCCTTTTGTTCCCAGAACACCACTTTTCAGAACACCAAAATCTGGTGTTCCAGCGCTGGCACATTTGTGCTAGGAATCAATGAGCAAGGACGAGGCGATTCCCTTCTGCCCTGGCCAATCAATGGCCCTCTTCAGCTTAGCCTTGGAACTTCGAACCTGGAAAAAGTTCCAAGGGGCGTTTTTGGCGGTGTCTTCACACAAAATATTAACTGGAACCTCGAACTTTCAGAGCATCATTCCGAGCATAGAGTTTAGAAGGTTCGGCCCTCAGTTCATGTTTGACGGCACGGCGAAAGGGCCTCATGCTATCGCGGATCGCCGCTCTGTGGGGCTGGCGCTAAGGCGGCTACTTATCTGTTGCTGCTAATGCATGTTTTCTCACGAGCTCTCTGACCGCTCTTCCCAACATGAGTCCATCCCAGTAGACTTCAACTTCACGCACGGTCAACAGCGCTCCCTACTCGTCCTGGACGTGCGTACAGCCTGTGATGTTCTCGGCATTGACGCGCGCCGATGGCTACCTCTCGTCATGAGAGCGCAAGGGGAGCGTTATCTTCTGTGGCTGCTCTGTTTTGCTCTTGGGTCACCAGCGGCGCAGCGTGTTCGCTGCGCTGCGTAGCTGCAAGCGCGCGAGCAGGACGTCCTGCTTCTACTAGCAGTTTGCCCAGGTTGAAAAAACGGGGGAGGATATCCTGCGCTATGTACACCACATCTATTTACTCTCGCAAGTTCCAAGCTTCAGGGACGAAACTCGGTCACTGAAGTGGGGGTTTCTGCGAACTTTTGTGGCCGTTTTTCGCGGTTCGAGGGCAAAAAAGGGCTTACGTGAAGGTGATTTCCCCTCGAACCTGGAACATGTCACTATTTTTCCAGGTTCGAGGTTCCAAGGCTTAGCTGAAGACCCCCAATGCTTGGCAGGATACGTGTGCTGCGGGAGCGGTGAATTGCCATCTCCAATGCGCCCGAATCTCGCTATTGCGGCGTTAGTCCAGGAGACGACAGGTATCTAGGATAGCGCTTTGAACTAATAATGTCATTGAGGTCATTGCGCACTTATTCGCATGCTACCATCTCATCAATAGCATAGGGAAATTATGTGGCATTGCGGCGACGTTGTGCCTTCATCTCGTGCGAAAACAAAAATGAACGGGTGGCCAGCACACTAATCACTACAGAACCCACTTGGACACGCCGTAGCACACGTTCTGAAAATGCTTGGTCCAAACTAGAAACCCTAGCCCGGGAAACACTAAGAACGTGTGCTGGCACCTGAACAAAGGCCTAATGTTCAATTGAAGCGTTATTCATAAAACATACCGTGTTTTGTAAAACATACGTAATGTACCCTGTAGCCAAAGTGTATACTGTTGCCAATGTGTTACCAGCAACGTATCATGTTTCCCAAGTGTTACCTATCTCCCAATCGTACTCTGTAGCCTAAGTGTAGCCTGTAACCTAAGTGTAGCCTGTAGCCTAAGTGTAGCCTGTAACCTAAGTGTAGCTTGTAGCCTAGTGTAGCCAAACGGGGATGTACGCAATACGCGGAGAATATGGCGCTGAGTCTCATGAGGCTTTGATCCATCTATAGCGGCGCCCTTTGCGACGGTTATCGATATCGGAAGCCTTCTCAGCGGTTCCATTGCTCCTGTTCTTCTTCCGTATCTGAACACGCCTCTCCGACCGTCCGGTAAACGCGCTTCGGGCGGTCTTTCATTAGTAGAGGCAGCTCGAAGCTCTTCTATCGACGCCACGCGCCCCTCGTTCCCCTCCAGTCGCTAGCACATCGCTTGGAGACATATAAACAATAGAACCCAGCTGTGCTACACAAACAACCATTAGCACCTTCGTCCTTCTTTCTCAGAGGAAGCTGGCGGCGCAGACACACGCTCGCTGTGGTCGCGGTGGCTAACGGCGGAGCTCTCTCTCTCTCCGTCAGGTGTCGGGGCGTAGCGCTGCTTAAACGGGGGCGTTGTCGCTCTTTTGGCTCGGTAAACCATCGTACTTAGCATACCCTTCTACCGGTACTACCAGTAGCTTACTGGTTATGTCCAGACCACTTAAAAAGTGGGACAAGTCACTTTTCCCACATTCTATCAGGAGGTGACCTATTCTGGAGGCAGGATGTGGGAAAAGTGGGAATCAATACATTTACACTGTTATTCCGAAGATGGGTACAGCTCAAAGGTGGGAATGTTACTAATATTTGTTCCGACCCTATGTGGGGCGTTATTAGAGATTGTATCGGATTCTCAATTTGCCAGAAAGTGGGAAATGTGAGAAAATGTAAAATTTTCCCACTTTTGAAGTGGTCTGGTTATGTCACAACGATTGGTGGTCTTTAGTCGTCATATCGGAGGCCATGCAGGAAGTCAATTGCGATGGCTTCACCTGTGGGCGCGTCTACCGTAATAAGGAGATGCTTGAATTTGCAGTGGTTGCCTATGTCGCGCGGGTACGTCTCGCTGTCAGCTGTACGGTATCGACATGCACTGTACTGAATGCTGAATAGAAAGCGGATCTGCTGCTTACCTGTTGCTACCTGCTACAAGGTAGTGGGTTACCCGCTTCCAAACGTGCGAGAGCCACGAAGGCAACGGAAGAAGCACCAGAAAGATCCCGAGACTGCTATGCGAGGCGGTGTTATGTCATCGTAAGCTTGTATGAAACTAGACACAGTTACGGTTACACCAGACTGCAGACTACGCTTAGGATACATACTACACTTAGACTACAGGCTACAGTTGGGAAACACGATACATGACAGAGTGCACATGGGCAACAGGATACACTTTGGCTACAGGATACGTTATGTATACTTTACAAAACACTGTATGTTCCGAGAATAACGCTTCAATTGAACATTACGGCCCCGAAACAGAATTATTTCAAAAACACGGCCCCGAAACAGGATTTCCCCTATATTTTATTGTGAAAACCGATTAGTTTGTCCTGCTGAATTAGCCGGTTAAACATCGCTCATAGCGGATTTGAAGACTAATAAATCGGGGATGTATCAATTATAATCGGAGTATAAATCGCTCATCGGTCTCGTAATTATGTGCAGCCTAGCAATTTCGATCAAAATACATGTACCTCGGCTCGAGACTCGCCAAGTTGCAGCGGCAACACCGCGCTTTAACGCGTCGCCTGCATATCTCAGTTACATTATTATAGCGCGTGGCTTTTCTTGCTTAGTTCTGCTGTTAGTTTTGTAGCCGTGACTACCTAGCCAAGAGCGACTGCAACGATTGTTGTCTGGCGGCTGATTTAGCCTACAAGGAGCGAATGCCGGTTGCACATCGGACATTCCGTCTGAATAGCAAGCAAATCAGCCGGCTCTGGCTTAATCGGCCGATTAGCAAATGTAAATCCGACTCATATGCTCCGACTCTGTAAGTCGTCCTAGGTAGTATAAATCGAGGTATCCCAGTCTAATTAGGGGCTCGGATTTAACAAATCGGGGACCGTAGGTCTTATGAAGCCACTAAATCGGCGGGTTAACAATCCAATAAGACATTATAATCGGTTTTCAGAATACATACTAAAGGTATTTAGCAGTTTGTTCGGTTCCTCCTGTTTTCGATCGGGAAATAAACCCACCCGACAAGATCACAAACGGCCTTTAGCACTTACCAACAATTCCGGTTGGTAGCATATGCTACCAGATCAGAGCTGGCAATTTGAGTTTAACCATTAGGTTGAACTGTGGTTTAAACTCAAAAACCTACCGACCAGATTTTGTGGGTTTTAGACTTAACCTTCAATCCAACGAAGTGAAACCACTGCAACGACTCCGTGGGGATGAACGAGAAGTCGCTGAAACCACATCCAATTGAAACGGACACTGTAGGAAGGCTGTGAGTTCTTTATTAGCAGGAAAACCAGCCGATGGAGAACCAAGCAAGCCAAGCCACCCCATGTGACACAGCCGCAGACGCCGGAGCTGAAGATAGCACCACTACCGAAGCTTCAGACACGCGTTTATATCCCGGTGACGTTGGGGACAGTGCCGCCAGTGCTGAAGGTCTCAAAACGAACAAGAAGAGAGGGGTCGGCCTGTATCTCCGGTCTGGGGGCTTTTGACGGACGAGGACCGCCCGTGGCTCAACGTATCCGCTATCTGCAAGAATTGCAAGGAGCGTGTCCACTACCCCAAAAAGAGTGAGCAGGTGAATGTACATCTAAACAAGTGTGCGGGGTTTATTAAGCTGATGAAGGACACCAATATTGAAGACCGACCGTCGTGGTTTATCTCCGTGAAGCGGAACAAGACCACTCAACAGACCATCGACTTCGGCTTCACGAATCCCGCCCCACCGCCGCCTCGTCAGACGGAGATAACAGAGTTCACCTGCCCTCCAATGACACGCCAACAACAAGATGAAGTCGCCAAGAATCTTGAGCTACTCTACTATATCACCAGCACATATTTTCAACCAGTGGAGGAGCCCCTTCTTGCTGCTGCTTTTAGAGCATGCTGTTCAGACGTAAAACTTCCTGACCAAAAACGCATGAGCAATTCGCTATTCGATTCCTGCTATTCAGAGCTAAAGGAAGCTGTCGACGCAAATCGCAGCAAGGCAAAGGTGAAAGGGTGCGTGTGAACGGACCGATGGACTGATATCGCTGGGAACGCAATCGTGAGCTACATGTATGCGAGCAAGAACGGCACCCAGTTTCTTGAGTCGGTCGCAACAGGATCACAGCGTCATACAGCGGAATGGATTTCGCAAGACTTGACCCGAGTGCTGAAGTCGTGCACAAATTGGAGTGGTGCTTGCACGGACAACACCAATGCAAATAAAGCGGCCTGGGCGATCTTGAAGACTATTTTCCCAGCAAAGTTCTTTTATGGATGCGCAGCACATGCGCTTCACTTCGTCGTTCAGGATATTTTTTCTCCCAAGAAGAAAGATGCAAGTAAAAAGAAGAATGTTGCTACGCTGGCAACTGGTGAGCGCGTGCCAGAGTTCCCGTTCGCGGACCTCGTTACGTTCGCGTCCGATTGCCGAACGATTGTGAAGTTTGTGAAGAAGTATCATGTGTTGAAAGCAGAGGTGGAAGCGATGCAGGTGCCGAGAATTTGAGACGTTTGGCGCTTCCGGGGCCAACCCGATGGGGATCTATCTTAGCATATTTTACTTCATTGCTTGCCTCGGAAAAGATACTACATGCCCTCGTCACGGGACGAGATTTTCTGGCTACACCTGACGCGACCCAACGAGCAAAACGTGAAAATATCAAGAACGTGGTCACCAGAGCCGATTTTCTTCCCAATCTGCGGAAGTGCATCGCGCTGCTGACTCTAGTAGACAAGCGCATCACAGAATTCCAGAACGACCTTCTTCCGATTTCAGATGTCTACAAGGCTTTCGTAGATCTCCCTGGTGAATTGGACAAGTTGGATGACTATTCCAAGAAGGAAGTCGTGTATCTGAAACATTGTATTGGTATGCGGTTTGAATTTGTGAAAAGTGACTGTCATGGTATTGCTTTTATGCTGGATCCACGTTACGCGGGAAGAGGGATGTCTATTCGTGAAGAGCAGAACATCGAAGACAAAATTGTTGCTTTCCCCCCTGCAGACGACAAGCCCACCGACGCGCAACGGACCTCTATGATGAGTGTGGAATTAACACGATTTCGGCTATACTGCAATGAGTTGATGGAGACGAAGAATCGTCGCTACACGGAGTCAGTCGAGGGTCACAAAACTGTCCACGACTTTTGGCTTCTGTATGATTCTCACTGGCCGACTCTCATGGACTTGGCTCTCGCTGTTTTTGGCTTGGTGGCATCTAGTGCTGCATGTGAGCGCAACTTCTCTACTTTTGGCTTCCTCCAACCAAGTCGAAGAAACGCACTGGGCGCACCCAAGTTGGATAAACTGGTTTACATCAAAACCAACTACAAATACAACGGAGAGAATCCGTGGACTCGCATGGACGACGAGAATGACTCGACTGAGTGAGTCTGGCACATGCACCAAAACCCCAGAACCTAATTCATTTTTTAAAAATCAACAGGTTTTTCCAGCTCTGTACCAGATAGAAATAAAACGCAAGCACTTTAAAATTAGATGTGGGGCAGACCTTCATTTCTTTCCTGTGTGCATTCCTCCTCCAACACGAGACTCTGTCAACACCGCGCAACAAGCCCTGAAGACTATGGTGTTCCGCTTCCAGCCTGACCAAGACCGCGAGCTGATCCGCGACTCGCCTGAAACCGTTCGCAGCAAAGCGGGGCTCGACAGGGAGCGTCTGGGAGGAAGTCGCGAAGGGTGTTTCAAGCGCAATTAAAGTCCAGCTCAACGCCAAGCAGGTTCGCGACCGCCTGAATCTTCTCGAGGCCAAGTTCAAGGCGGACGAGTTGTGCTCTTCTCGCGCAAGTGATGTTGAGGAAGCACTGCATGCTGTTAACGTGCAAAGTCAATACGACGACCTTGACGGGCTGGTCCGAGGTTACGATGACCTGAAGCGCGCCTACAAGGACAAGAGAAGCGCAAAAAAGGCAGCGAAGGAGAAAAAAGAGGTCCTTGCTAGTTGTGCTGCTGCCATCGTTGTCGAGAGTACTCTTCGCCGTGCCCAGCGTGGCGGCGATGAATCGGTCAGTTCTGACATCGATCCAAGCGATGAGAGCGACGCGGACAATGTTGCTAGTGAGGTATCGGCGGCGCCATCTCAGGCGTCAACTTCAGCTCTCGATAATACACCCAAGCGATCCAATGCATTTTTGGATGAACACACGGTCGCTTGGCGAGGCGTCGTCACATCAGTCTTGACAACACTCCCACTCGACTCGTCAGCGACCACGATGCCCAGCTTCGTCCTGAGCGCGTCGAACTGCGGCGCCGCGATCGGCTTCGTCATGATGTCCGCCAGCATGTCGAGTGTCGAAACATACTGCAACACCACTTGACCGTCTTCCACCTTCTCGCGCACGAAGTGGTAGCGAATGTCGATGTGCTTGGTGCGCTTGTGGAACTCCGGGTTCTTGGCCAACGCGATGGAGCCTTGGTTGTCCTCGTAGATCTTCACCGCTTCATCGCTCGCCATCTCGCCCAGCTCGCACAGAAACACCTTGAGCCACACCGCCTCCTGCGTGGCCTCCGACAGCGCCATGTACTCGGCTTCCGTCGACGAGAGCGCCACCGTGCGCTGCTTCTTGCTTCGCCAGCTGATGCATCCGCCGTTCATCATGAACGCGTAGCCGCTCGTACTCCGTCGAGACTCGATGTCGCCGGCCCAGTCCGCGTCCGAGTAGCCTTGCAGTCCGTCCTCGCTGCTCGCTTGAAACACGAGGCCGTGCGTCTTCGTGCCTCGGATGTAGCGGAAGACCCTCTTGAGCGCCTGCCAGTGTGTCGGACATGGGTCCGCTGCGAACTGGCTCAGCACTCCCACTGCCGCTGCGAGGTCCGGACGAGTCCCCACCATGAGATACATGAGGCAGCCCACGGCGTTCCGGTACGGAACATTCGCCATGGTCTCGTCGTGCTTGCAGCCTCCCTCGCACATGGCCTTGGTCAGCTTCAGACCCGGATCCTGCGGTGTCTTCACAGGGTTGCTCTCATCCATCTTGAACTTCTCGAGAATGTCCTTCGCGAACTTGGTCTGCCGCACCGACAACTTCCCAGTCGCCACATCTTGCTCGATCTCCATACCGAGAAAGTACTTGAGCTGGCCCATGTCGGTCATCTCGAACCGGTCACTCAGCGCCTGCTTCGTGTCCTTCAGCATCCCGTCGCTGCTGCTGGCGAGGACCAGATCGTCCACGTACAGTGCCACGAACATCATGTCGTGATTGTCCCGCTTCAAGTAGATGCAGTGGTCGGACTCGCACTTCTTGAACCCCAGCTTCAACATGAACTCGTCGATCGTCTTGTTCCACATCCGCGGCGACTGCTTCAGGCCGTACAGCAAACGCTTGCCGCGGCGACTGCTTCAGGCCGTACAGCAAACGCTTGAGCCGGCACACATAGTCGGGTCGATCTCCGTCCACATATCCGTCCGGCTGCGCCATGTAGATGTCCTCGTCCAACACGCCGTTGAGGAACGCGGTCTTCACATCCATCTGGTGCACTGTGAGCTTGTACTTGGCCGCCAGACTCAGCAACACCCGAATCGACGTGAACTTGGCCACCGGCGCGAACGTCTCGTCGTAGTCGATGCCGTACTTCTGCGAGAACCCCTTCGCCACCAGTCGCGCCTTGAACCGCTCGATCTCTCCAGACTGGTTCTCCTTCACGCGGAACACCCATCTGCAGCCGATCGCCTTGCGTCCCTTCGGCAGTGGCACCAGGGTCCACGTCTCGTTCTTGCGGAGCGACTCCAACACGCCTCTTTCCACTTGTCTGCGTCGCTGGATTCCATCGCCGACTTGAACGTTGTCGGCATCTCTCCCACTGAATCCACGACGTACGCAGCCTCGAAGTCTTCCTTCTCTTGTGCTGCGGCAGACATCTCGTCCAGCGGTTGCTGTCGTCTCGGCACCGCATACCGTTTGGCACTCGGAACCTCCACGGCTTCCTCGAGCGACTGCGTGCGCGGGTGTCGCTTGCTGCCGGGTTCAAAGTCTTGATTCCGCGCAGCTTCTTCTCTGTTCTCGTCTGATCCGGACTGAGTCTCTTCATCCGTGGTGTCTTCATCATCATCTGTCGGAAGACCCACCAACACCTCCTTCGAAGCGTAGTCGCGTCTCCCACCGTCGAAGACATCCTCCATGAACTGCGCGTCGCGGCTCACCAACACGCGACCGCTCTCGATCTCCTCAAACCGATACGCCTTCTCGTGCTCCGAGTACCCGAGGAAACGACAGCGCACCGACCGAGCGTCAAACTTCGACCGCTTCTCCTTCGGCACGTGCACGTACGCGTGGCACCCGAACACCTTGAGGTTGGCCAGCAAAGGCTTCTTGCCGGTCCAAACGTGGTGCGGCGACTTGTCGTGACTGATGGCGCGCGTCGGACACCGGTTGCGGAGGAACGTGGCCGTCATCACCGCTTCTCCCCAGTACTCCTTCGACAACCCGGCGTGCTCCAGCATGCAGCGCGCACATTCCACCAGCGTCCGATTCATTCGCTCGGCCACTCCGTTGAGCTGAGGCGTGTATGGCGGCGTGAACTTCTGCTCGATGCCGCGATCCGCACACAACTTGGCCATCGCACCCGAAGTGTACTCGCCGCCGTTGTCGCTCCGAAGCACCTTCACTCGCTTGCCGGTCTGCGTCTCAGCCAACGCGACGAACGCAGCGAACTTGGCAGCCACCTCCGACTTGTTCCGTAGCAGGTACACCACGCAGAAGTGCGACTTGTCGTCGATGAACGTGACGAAGTAGCGCTTGCCTCCGAACGTCGCCGTCTGCATCGGACCGCACACATCGCTGTGGACCACTTCCAGCACTTGCTTCGCACGGTTCGGCGACGACTTCATGAAGCTTACTCGCGTTTGCTTGCCGAGTGCGCACCCGTCGCACACCTCCCACTGCTTCACCGACGTCATTGGGATGCCAGTGCCGTAGCCCTTCTTGACGATGGCGTCGAGACCACCATGGCCGATGTGACCAAGTCGAAGGTGCCAGAGGTACGACGTGGTGTCCCCTTGGCGATTCTTCGAGCTTGCCGCATTGGCCTCGTCAGCAGGCGTCCTCGGCGTCATGCAGAGCTTGAACAGTCCTTTGCCTTCGCGAGCGCCGAGCTTCCACTTGAGACCCTTCGTTTCCGCGAAGCACCCGTCGCTCTCGAAGGTCACTGGCCCGACGTCCTTGGTGAAGCGGCCGACGGAGAACAGGTTGCGCGACAGCTTCGGGATGTGCCACACACCCGTGAGCACACCCTTCTTCATGCCGCGCGGTGTCTGCATCGACATCACGATGTCGCCGCTCCCCACCGCCTGAACCACGCCGTCGTCCGCCAGATGCACGTCCACCGGAGAGATCTTCTTGTAGTTCTTCATGTACTCCATCGAGTACGTCATGTGCTGCGTCGCACCCGAGTCGACCAGCCACATGCCGCTCAGCTTGGAGGCACCCGTGTCGCCACCAACCGAGAAGAGGAAGTCGCCAGAGTCATCTTCGACCTGCGCGACGTTCGCTCGTTGCGGCCTCTGCCGCTCCCCGTTCTCGCGGATCCGCACCGGACCCTTGGCGATCCAATGTCCGTGCTCGCCGCAGTAGTGACAGGCGCTCGTCCTCTGCGCTTGCGCCTGCCGTCCCTTGCGCTTCCCGTTGTCGCTTGTCATGAACGCTTGACCTTGAGCGTGCGCGGTTCCGTCAGCACCGCCACCTTGTTCCTTGCGCTTCATGTCCTCGTGCAGAAGCCGAGACGTCACGAGCTCCCACGTCAGCGTGTCGGAACGCGATTCCAACGCCGTTATGAGGAACTGGTACGACTCGCTCAGACTGGCAAGAAGCGTGATTACCAAGTCGTCCTCGCCGACCGGAGCGCCGACCGCGTCGAGCTGTTCCGCCAGCGTCTTGAGCTTGTTAATGTGCTCCAGCACATCATCACCTTCGTCCATCGTTGTCGTGAAGAACCGTCGACGAAGAAAGAGCTTGTTCGCCAGGCTCTTCTTCTCGAAGTGTCCCTCGAGTCTTGACCATGCATCATGCGCGTCCTTCGCCGACCGCACCAGCGGCAGCTGCGAGTCCTCCAACGCGAGACAGACGATCGCCAGCGCCTTGCGCGACTTCTTGCGAAACGTCGCTTGGTCCGCCGCGGTCGTGCACTGCTCGAGCTTCACTTCCCCACTCGTCACTTCCCACAGTTCGCGCTCCTCCAGCACCATCTGCATCTTGAACTTCCATGTGTGGAAGTTGGTTCCGTTGAACTTGTTGATGCGGGCGGTCGCGGTCGGGGCGGCGTCCATGGCGAAGGCGTAGTCGGGGTCTTGGTCAGGGAAGACGGGGCTTGGGCTCATAACCAAAAGGAAGAACACTTGAGCAGTAGTTGGCAAAATGCAAAGTGATTCGATTCAGGTCCTTAGTTCGCAACCGCGTGCTACCTCTAAGCCTGCTACTGGATACCTCTTACTGGATACACCCTACTGGATTCTCTACTGGATACACAGTTACCTTATCCAATCAGAGAACGCCACGTCGATGCCCATCTTGTACCCACAATCTTGGCGTAATCACCGTGACGTAATCATCGTCCCGTAATCACCTGAATGATTGCGGTACAACACAGTGAAGGTCACGCCGACCTCACTGATGACGCGTTCGCGTCACACGGTTGCTTGGCGAGGCGTCGTCACATCAGTCTTGACAACAAAAACCACCTCGAAATAGCCATTCGACGCCGCTCCATCCATCGCTTCTGTAGAGCACGCTTCTGGCGAACAGCGTCCAGTCATATCAACACGTCAAGTTGCCCATTATTCGCTGCTCGGTCCATTGCTTCAGTTGGAAAAACACGACGTAGATCACATAGATATCCGGAGTGGTGACTTTCAGCTGACCTGACGAGCACGTGAAAAATTTGTCCGGCAGTTTAACCCCAGTGAAATTTATCCGACGAAAAAGGATCAAATCCGTTGTTGATGTGGCAT